AGCGTTTAAAATAGCTTATTTTTTGCACATTCTTATATAACACGTTTCAGGTGTTGCGTCTTTTAAATTTGTTTGCTAGATGGAATTGGCATAAATAAACATAAAAATTGACAATAATAAACACCTTACTGTAAAAAAGTTAACGGTATTTACTGTCCAGTACTTACCACTCCAATTTCGAAGATTCTGCATGGGGTGATGATAGGCGTGGTGTAGAATTGGAGGTGGTTATTCATAGTCTGAATCCAACTCCCCATCAGCTGTGATGGAGGATAATGTTGGAAGCCGGATAATCGATTATCTACTGTACATTCGTTATTATTATTAACTATTAATAAAAGTAGGTTGGCTTGGGCAAGACACATGGTTAGAAGGGGGGTGATGGGCAATGGTTTGATAGCCTTTTTATGGAGCATGCCCAAGAAAATGTCTACTCCATTCTGCCAGCGACGCAGACGACATTCAGTGAGAAAACGAAGGCCTGATTGCATTGCATACCGCGCGTAGCCATGTGCTCTAGCCACTAGCCCCCCTCCACTCCGTCACTTATTGAGTAAACACGAGGGCGGTGACTTGAGGCGTTAAGTGTTGGTGACAGCGTGAGATGCCGCGAAAGGGCGGGTGGGTGAGCGGGCACTTGGATTACGTCTACCTGATTACATCGACGGATTACAACCTTGGATTACATCTACGGTTCCATATCCATCTCCTCCGCTACGTCTCGAGCTTCGACACGAGGGCCCCCCATTTCTCCACCTGTCAAGCCCAAATATTAAAATAGCTGCCGTGCCGTGCCTCGGTTGGCTGGCTCTATCCGGCTGGTGCTTATGCATACACATGTATATTTATATCTGTAGAGTCCGTGCATATATATTTACGCGCTCTCCTGCCTAAACGACCACATCGCCGAACGGCTATAAGCCATCTTCAGATTCTCTTGCGTGGGGCCGAGCGTGAAGGACGCAATGAAGAGGTGTTTCCTGGGCTGTGCGAGGTATGTCAGTCCTCTTTTCGCTGGCATTTTCATCATGTTTGTTGAACTTCTTTCGCGCTGTACGTAGCCAACCGTGCTCATAACTAGGAGAAATAACTCTGCTTATTCTCATGCAAAGGGCTGGAACGTTGGCGCGGTGGTTATCTCGCACGGTGTTATTAACACGGTGAGTCGAGTTTGATTACCTGGCCATGACTATGGCTATGGCCAGGTAATTAAGCAAACTCAGTAGGGTTGTTAATTTTCATTAATTTTCGTTAACCATTATAATTATGGAGTGCAAACAAAAATCACATCTCGGTTTTCAAAACTTCAACAAAACCCGCACTGCCCAGTGTGGTGAAGTGTGGTAAAAAACACATAATTCCATGACCAACCCACCATGGGGGGATGCACTCATCCAGCAGTGGATTAACAAAGGCCTGTGAATCTATCGAAATAAAATGTATTTGTATAATCTAATATCACGACGTCGTGATATTTTTTTATTACTTTTCTATCTACGTGGCTTTACCGAAAGATCCATAGAATATGTATTCCTGCAGTCACGAAAGCTTTAAGTCAAGTATTTGTATAAGTCGAGTAGCTTACCGTTGTTCAACAACGCAATTGTTTCTCTTTCGTGGCCGCCGCGGGTGCCCGTGTGCTGTGATTATTGACGCTTTGTGTGTTCTGCGGTGCGTTCTTGGTTATAACTCTAATCGCGTGGAAGCGGTCACATGTAGCTTACTGCGAATTAAATTCACTGCATTGTGCAACAGAATGTAAGTTGCATTTCTGGCCCATTTCGTGGGTAGGGATGATGAGCTTGTTTGAAAGGGCGTATAAATGTCCCTTCGTCGTCTTAATTGATTGAGCGCACAATCTTTACTCGAATTAACGCCACTAACTGCAATGGATACGTGAATGTGAAAAACTTTGTTCAGGTACCGCGTTGGCACCAGAGACCGTAAGAAAATCGAATCGCGGTTATTGGCAATCGTGCTTACGCCAGTGCAGTGGCGTAGCTGTCGAGAAGTGTGCAGGCGATGCAACTGCACCGGGGCCCACGGGCCGGAGGGACCCTGGCGGTCTGTCTATGATGGGGGGGAGGTAGGTGGTGGGGCCCATTTTATTCCTTACATTTGGATCAGTGCCAACCGCGAGATGCCACTGCCGCCGCCGCTGGTAGTTGTGTTCACCTGGATAATCCAGGGTGGGGAAGCCTGCAAATGCTGAGATATTTCGGGTCAAGAGTTGGGTGCAGCAGTGGGCGTTGCTGTTGGGACATGAAGTGGTTGGAGTAGTAACTTGTTGTAGGGGGCTTGTTGCTCGTGTTGAACTATCTCGTTCTTTGCGTTGCTGCCTCCTTTATGATTAAAGTGATTAAAATTAGCAGCCCTTTACCCATTGCCTATCCGCTGCTGGAACGAAGGCCTCCCCATGTCGCGTGGATCATGTGGGGCTATTTGAACGTCATGCCGGTTGGTGCTGATGTATGAAGGTGGACTGCGACGGGGGGTGGGGGGGGATGACCGCTTCTGATGTCGCTCACGAACTTGTTACACTGTCGCGTTCACTTGCCGACATTTGTTTCATTTGCGTAGGCTGAGTTGGCTTGAGCGCCACGCTCAGTGGGAGCTCGCTCATTTTCCTCCACTCCGCACAGGGTCTGGAACTTCCTCTGCCCGGCCATCTGTGCCGTTGACTCGACTCTCAGCCCCGGTTTAAGTCCAGTCTCAAGACCTTCCGCTTCTCCCTTGCCTATGACTCACTGCCTCTCTCTCTGAAATGTATATATATAATAAATAAACCTGCTGTGTCTGTACAGCGTCTTGGTATGCAGGCGCACTTTGAATCGATGTAAATCCACGTTGTTTTGCATGTCAATCTTCCGAGTTGATGGCTCAGTGCGTGAGTCTGTGGACTTCTTTGTGAGTCTGTGGGTCTCGTTAGAGTCTATGGACCGATCGACTAAATTTTGAAAATCAAACTCCCCACTGTTTCTACGCCGTCGCAGATACACGCTGCATATGAATCCATATTTGATTGCAACGTTATTCCACGGAGTAACGAGGGCCGATAAGGTGGCGTTTAAACCGAGCGAGCGGTGTGGGCGCTTGGGCCTGCCAGAGCGAGACGTGGGGACGAGCGCTCTTCCCCCTCCATCCCAGCTTAAATAGACGCTCCAAGCCTGGGGTGTGTCATTCAGACTCTGTCTTTTCGATAGACCTGTTCTTCACCTGAGGACGGCTGCTTGCGTTGTGGCCAAAACGTCGTGAGAATTATTTTATAATGTTTTATTTTTATTATTTTATTATTTACATTCTACGTGACTTTACCGAAAGAACCAAGAAGACAGTCGTCTCTTTGACACCAGGCCGGCTTTTCGCCACGGGAGGAAGCATTCTACCCGCAGTGTGTCATCATGTTTATAAATGACAGCACGTGTTGCCGAGGAGGCTGGGTGCTGCTGAGTCAGCGCTCGGGTTGTAAAAAAAAACCTGCTTTTGGAGTTATACGAAAAATGCTCAAAATTTTCTGTAGCGTGCCACTGATTTTCGTGTCCCGGATCGCAAACATGCAGACGCCCACATACTTGTTGTGGTGCTAATCTTAGATTATTATCAAATAAGACATTTCTGGTGGTGAGCTGTGGTACAGATTGTGCAGTGGAAAGCACACCGAGCGATATGTTTTGTTGACTGTGAGAATCATAATCAGGTCAATCATGGTAGTGGCAGAGTGCTTCGTGCGATGAGCTTATGAACTTTGCGACCTGAGTTCAATTATGGGATACGGTTAACATCGGTGGCGAGCGATATCGCAACAGAACCAGTCCTGATCCTACACCGCTCCTCCCTTCACCAACCTGCACTGCCAAGCATGGTGAAGTGTGGTTAAACAATATCATCCACTTGACCGGTCAATGGCTTTGGGAGGCCTTCATCCAACAGTAGATCGACAGTATTTCTTAAAAACGACAATGAATTGCGATGTGTTTTTTTAAAATTGTATATTAATTTCACTTGGTTCTTTTGTTGCCTCCGCACATTGCTCTTGACACGGCGTTGGGAGATCCTCATCCAGCAGTGGATAGACAAAGAGGGTGCGAATTATTGTCGTGATATTTTATGACGGTTTGGCAATGGCGTCACGGCACGGTGGCCAGCCGTAGCAAGGCGATCTGACACCCCCCCTCCCGCACTGGGCTGTCTGCCTAGCACGCTGTTTCCGTGTGAAGCCAGGCGCGAGATAAATAAGTTCACACCTCACGCTGAGCCTCCTTTAGCCCTCATTGATGAGTCCATTAAAGCCGTCGCGACGACGACAACGGCTTGGCGGGTGGAAACAGGTGGCTTCAGTTTGTGTTTCTTCGCGAGCTCCCTGCTGTGCGAGTTCGGGGGGTCGCATGCCTTTTCCGCGTGTCCCCTGGGCAGTTTTACACCTTGGCAGCTTCGTACGTACGTGTGAATCTGAGACTGTAAGCTTCGTCGAGAGAGGGGGGCGGGGGTCACCGAAGTCGTGCTTTTAAGGCTTTTTTTGTGGAATGCCAAAAGTTAATGACTCTCCTTTGCCGGTTTTTGGGGCAGCCTCGCTGACATCCAAGCAAGCCTCCACACAGGTTATTGAATGGCTTCATAGCCTCCTGGCTTAATAACACACAATTTCAGATTGCCATACGAAAAAATCTGAATCTTTACTTATCCCGCAACAATCCGATGAGCTATGAAGCTCTTTTTTTTACAGAAAGAAGTCGTGCTGCTTCCAGGAATGAAATGGGAACGGGCCACAGTCTAATTTCTTACCCCCACCATCCCCCCCCTCTTCATTGTCTGGCACTTCGATTCTTCTTATCCGTGGGCCCCGGTGCAGTTGCACCGCCTGCACACTCATTAGCTTACGTCACGGAGTGAAGCCGTCTGTTGAGAGCTTTTTGCATTCTCACAGTTGAGCTGGGGAGTTGTTATTTCAAATGTTCTAAAACACTCACGTGTGTGTGTGTGTCTTTGTGTTTCCCTTCCAGAGATTTTGACTCGCTGGACAAGGACAATGTTTATGAAAACAACAAGCTGGTATGTCAGCTCGTGCACACCCGGGGGGGGTGGGGAGAGGTGGCGGGTGTGGGGGGGGACTGCTGCATGGCCCACACTGGGATTGTTTCCATCAGTGTTGTGCCACCACGTTCCCTACCGCAATGCCGCCTGTGTGTGCCTCGTGCGTGGACTGCCCACCGTGCCGTACTTGTCCACCTCGCCTCCTCTCACAAATTCCAGTGGCCGTGGCGGTCGATTGTGTAAGCCCTCTGTGCGGCCGCCCCTCCAGTTTGAGACTGGAGGCCCCGAGGGGCCTTGTCTGAACCGGTGCCAGCGAACTCGGCCTACGGAACTGTCCTCCGCCGCCGCTATCCCCCACCGCGAATCGATTAAGAGAATTCACTTTTTTTTGTCTTGTAATCGTTTTCCAGCTGGGGTTGAAAACGTAAATGCGTCCGTTATGTCCGTGTGTCTGTTTGCACAAAATTATGCCGAAGATGAATCTGGTGACCGTGATCCAAATGTAAATGAATGCTCCTCGCGTAAAATTGCGTTGGCCGCTTGAGACTTTAACTCAACGGCAAAACTTGGCGACAAAAAACCGACGCGGAAAACAATTTAATGGCTTCATTACGCGCGGCGTCATCTCGAAATGTCACACGCCACGTGCTCACCACCCCTCTCCATCACTTGACTCTGTGCGGCATTTCTTAAAGTACACGCGTGTATGCCGTTGGTTGCAAGTATATGTGTGTGTGTATGCCGCCAGTTGTAAGCATGAGTGTGCGTGTGTGCTGCTGGTTGTGAGTGTGCGCGTGTGCCTGTGTGTGTGTTGATGCGCGCGTGTGCCGCTGGTGTTGCTGCGCAGGCTTTTGAGGTTGCGGAGCGGGAGCTGGGCATCCCGGCGCTGCTCGACCCGAGCGACATGGTGAACATGGCGGTGCCCGACCGGCTCAGCGTACTCACCTACGTGTCGCAGTACCACAACTACTTCTGCGGCAAGCAGACGGGTGCGTCGTCGTCCCATCGCGGCGGACGCGCGCCCAACGCGTAGCGGCAATGCGTAGCGTGGCCCCGGGCCTGCAATGCGCGAGCTCGGTGTACACGTGTGCGTGCATAGCTCTGCTCAACCCTGCTCGGTTTCCGAGCAGGTAGCATGCTGGGTAAACGGGGCTTGTACCGATTGACTCCGTGGGCGATGTGAACAACTGTTACGATTCTAGGACGATTCGGTGAATGGAATTTGTTTACCTTTACGTATTTGTTGGGGTTTTTTTCCATACCGCCGACATAAAAACCATTATAAGCAATGTGGACGATACGAACGAGGAGACGAGAAGCAACGATAAAATTTAATCGCATCGATTCCACCCCCTCCCCCGCCCCCACCAAATCGAGACAGCGCATACAATCACTGGTGCCTATTTAAGTCATGCCATGTTTAGTCCGTACGCAGTGCACGCATGTACTTAGGCGTGTGTGTAGGAAGCTGTTTACTGATCTCGGTCACGATTTATAGCGAGCCCGCGTCTGATTTACAGCACCACCCTGGCAGCGTTGGCGGCCTTAACGAGCGCCGCTGAATGCCGAGCTGGCGCAGCGGTGGTTGCGAACGAATAACGAGCGCGTGCCTGGCTCCGCGCAGCGCATGTGGCGGGCATGTGCGACGTCATGTGACGAGCGGGAATTCCGGCGGCTCCCGAGGAGGAAAAAGAAAAACAACAACGGGAAACCTGACCCTAGTACAGTACGAACTGTACACCCCATTTTTTCGCCCTTGATATTCTCGAAACTGCCTCTCCGTCGCTGGCCACGTTGCGCCCGGAGCCTGTGGCCCTACACCGACACGTCGAGTCATGGATTCAAATAAATTATTGTTATTTCGCTCCGCGACGCGTGCACCGAATTGTACGCCTGTGTGAATTTGTGGTTGCCGATTCGTTTGTAAGGCGTGAGTGTAAGTGGTTCGTGCGAACCCTGCAGCCGCGAGAGGCACTCCGTTCACCACAGTTTGGGGGGGAAGATGGAGGGGGGGGCGATCCCAATTGATTTCTAGAATCTAACCGGGACCTTGGATCGAGGAAATTAATTGAACAGGTGGAGGAGGTAGGGTGCGTCTTCAAAATACACTGCACGCATTTGATGGCGAACGTGAGAATCGGTTATTTACATTGAATGAAAATTCTATGCGGCAAAGTGCGTGTGAGGGGATAAGTGTGCAGAGTGTGGAGGGAGAGTTGTTGAGTTTGAGGGGAGTATGTGTGAGGGGGAGGAGGATGTACGTGTGAAGGTGAGTGCAAGGTGGTCAGTGTGTGAGAGAGTGTGTATGAGGAGGAGGAGTGAGCTAGGAGAGTGTGAGGCCAGGGTCGGGGTTGCCCTGTGGCCTTGGTTCGGTGTGGGAGTTGTTTCAGGTCTGCCACGTGCCTGTAGCCACACCTGGCTCCGCTGCCAGCGCGTGTAACCGCTGTTTACTGGAGCGTGGAGGTCACTCACTAGTCGTGGTGGAGCCTCTGTGTGCGAGCTGTTGTTGGCGGAGGTTAAGAGTGAGGGCAGGAGACTGTGGCATCCTTGTTGTCAACGTTTGTTTTCCACGGTTCCTGTGGGCTTTGTGTGTGGGATGCGGGGAGCGGGAGTGTAGTGGTGAGCGCACTTGGCTGCGAGCGCGGCCACTCCCGTTCATGGCTAACATCAGTAACGAATATCTGAATCGGCCCTGGGCCTCTGCTAGGTTTAATTACCCGTAAATGGCTACCTGGTAAGGTGTGTAAAACGTTACTTCTGGGAAGACAAAGGTGGCTGGGAATGGTACTAGCCCCACCACCTCCTTGTGATTCATGCCGGCCTTCATAAGCGCTTGCGAACAACACTATCCCTCAACATTCCGTGCGTCTGTAAAGGGGACCTGTGTCTTTGTTTGTCGCCCGCTCAGCACTGGGAAGCTGTGAGCCTGGTGCCCGCGTCGCCACGTCGCCGTCGCTCAAACCGATCCGGGACGCGACGGAGGAGGGGGCGACGACGATCGTGGTACAGCTCCCACGCACAGCGCGCACAGCACGCACAGCACGCACATGCGCACGGCACGTTCCTTACGAAATACTCGAGGCCAGATTTCACTTGCTGCGAAATGTTCGTTTTCATCCTGTTTTTTTCTCGTGAAAAAAAATTGCCAGTGTCTCCAATTGCCAACATTGAGACAAATCGCCAAAGCCAAAGTGTTTCGGCCGTTTTACCAACACGTGAATCTGCCATTGGAAGGGTTACATCATGGGAGGGGGGCCGGGTCGCTCGAAGGTCAAGAGCACTGAGTCGGCACCGCTGAGATCATCGGTTCCACTGCAGCCCAGCCGCCTGTGATGACACCCGGCGGTTCAAGGGTCGTGAGTTGATGGGCTCAGGCTAGCTACCAATGACTGCGCATTAACACATCACCTTTCAGCTATGAGAAGGACAGATTTCGGTTTGTGCTGGCATGTCTGTATGTATGTTGAACTTGTTTTGCACAGTACATAGCCAACCGTGGTAATCGGAGGTGCGAAGGAAGGACAACAAACTAAACGCAAAAAGCACGAGACAAACATTGCTGTCTGGAGCAGAACAGGTGGGACAGTGGGTCCCCTCCACTAAGCGGTCCTGACATTTCTCAAAGATAGCTCTGTGCCACACGCTCGCATGGGTTGGTCTCTATCACTGCTCTGTGAGAGATCCTCACAGATGATTTGTCTCGTGACATGGCACCGAAAGTACAGTCGGGGCGAGGCTTCGCTGTATTTTGTTAATGGCAAACGAGAGGCCTGAATGAATAGTCCAGGGAGTGTGGTGGACGGAGGTTTTTGTTCTGTGCCTCGGTGCTGTGCCACGAGGGAGTGCGGCCTGTTATTAGTTACTCGCTTTCAGGTGAGACGGGATTGTGTGCGCGTCGCGGTGCCCACGTTCAATGAGCCCCTTCATTGCTTCATTGGCGGGGTCCGCCTTGGGCTCCCCCTCGCAGCGGCGAGGGATGAAGGCGGTCATTCCGCTCACGTCGGCTAGTGATCCAGAGTCTCCTGGCTCCTTGTGGCTCCTCTGTGACCCCTCACAATGAACCCTGTGTCCATTCACCCTCGCGTGAGCGACGGCCACTGTGCGGTGATTTATTTATATTTTATTAAAAAAAAAATTCTGCTGCAGAAAATGCTTCTAATTTCTATTCAGCAGTTTTTTTTGGAAACTGATATATGGAGTTATATTTAAGTTTTTAACCCACACGTGGTTGTCCATTAAAGGTCTGCCGCTGGCGCTTGCTCCACTGCCAGACTGCATTGGTCGGCATTTGAAAGGGAAGTGTTTTTCTGGCTCCCATCACGTGATGGTGTTGTGGCGGTTATGCCAGGACTGACATGGCCACGGTAACATCGTGATGCCCATTTAGCTTGGCGATGAACCCCTTGTGTGTGTGTGTTTATCTTTGAACCCGATAACCACAGTCCAGTTCCCAGCTGTGGATAAGATCAGAGGCTTTCATCCAACATTATAATGATCACGTCTGATGATGAAACTGTGTATGTGTGACCCCCTCGTGCGCGCCGTACCGTCCTTCATCGGTGCTTGCTCTCAGTACTTGCCCCAACAGTATGGTGACGGGTATATGGGAGATCCTTGTCCTTATTTCTGTGTTTAGGTGGGGCCAGCGTCGGAGGGAGGAACCAGCACCAGCAGCAGCAACAGCAGCAGCAGCGCGGGCCCCAGCTCCAGCACCTGCTGCCTGTGCCAGCGCCACGTGCACCTGGTGCAGCGCTATCTTGTCGACGGAAAGCTCTACCACCGCAACTGCTTCAGGTAGCGGAGCCGCCGTGGGCGGCGCTCTCACCATCGCGGGCGTTGACGCGGTGGCCCAGCGCTGGCGCGTTCGCTGGAAGCCAGCGGCGGCAGCCCTGGTTATTTTCTGACCGTTTAAAATACACGACGCGCCGTCTGCTTAACGCGCAGCGGACGTTAAAGATGCCGTGACGCCAATTTCGCAAGCGCGCGGGCCGTTGCATGCCAGGGTCATAGTCCAAAATTACTAAGTTGGTATTATACACAGCAGTCATCGCCCCTGTACTCTGATGGCTTGACAGGACCCTCCAGAAAACGAGTCGTGGGTAAACAGGTGTAATAATAGTAATAATAATCGTCACAGGTGGTTTGCTGGCTGAATTTGGGAGCTAAATACGACGTCTCAGACAGAGGCAGCACCTCTGATAACTTGGGTTCCAATCCAGGTTCCAGCCATTCGTGATTAAAGCAGTTCGTCAAGTGTAGTGAGTTGTTGATCTCAGCCAGGGTTTTTGTGATCTGGCGATTACTAACATATGTCGTAATGTACACAAGATCCGCAATTAGCGTATATCATTCACTACATCTTTGCAACAGTTTTTTTTTTTACATCCCGTGTCCTGATCAAATGTCAGCAACGTGAAAAGTGCCTGTTATTGTCAGTTCCCTAAGAACACACATCTCAGTAGTTGCATTCACGGGTAGTTCTCCCCTCTTCTGGTCTTGTGAGATATCTGATACGTCCTGGATTTTTGTACCTCCAAGGTGGCAACCCTAGGTAAGGTGGGTAGTCGCACATGATTGTGTGTGACGCATGATTGTGTGTGACGCATGATTGTGTGTGATACACTCACACATGATTGTGTGATTGTGTATGGGTACTCCCAGCTCTTCCAAGATGTCTGGACAGCTTGGAAAAATACCCTCTAGAAGGGCTGTCCAGAGCTCCCTGCAGGGGAGGAGGGCCTTACACATGCAGTGACGAGAGCAAAGATTTGAAGGGCCTCAACCAGAGGTCGCAACCGGGTACCCGATACCCGTACCCTACCCGATACCCGGCTACCCGTACCCAGCCAGGTACGGGTACCCGTTTGCGACCCTGGTGCGGCCGGGTACGGGTACGGGTAGGCCGTGAGTCACTGGTGAATAACCGTTTGTCACTCATTTCGGGTAGGGTACGGGTAGGGAACGGGTACCCGTACCCAGCCAGGTACGGGTACCCGTTTGCGACCCTGGTGCGTCCGGGTACGGGTACGGGTAAGGAATCAAAACCCGTTTGCGACCTCTGGCCTCAACTTTGCCTCTTATAGTCGATGTTCGTACCGTCACTTGTTTGACTTTGCTGAGTCCGACACATGTTCCTCCGTTGCCATGTATGTGCTGCGTGCTATAAACGTTCAGCTTCAAACGGGAGTGCTCGTGTATTTGCGTGATCAAGCGTGGTGCTATTTGTGTGTGCGCTGGCTATAAAATGCTCGCTGGTGAAAGTGTTTTTCATCATCATCATCATCATCTTCTATAGCCATGGCTTGTCAATTGCTGGATAAACGCCCCCTCATGCTGCTGTAATCTCTCACCGTCCCAAGATGCAGTGGTCCATTTAACTCTTGCACGCGAGCTGATTTCATTGCTCCATCTCCGGGGTGGATGTCCTCTCAGGCGTTTTCTCTCCTTTGACTGCCACTCCAGCATTCATCTCAACCACCTGTGCCGTCACCCATTGTATTAGTGCAATATCTCTAATTTCATCATTAGCATCACCTTTATAGTAAACGTCGGTTTTAAATGGAGGTTGGAGTGCTTTTCGCATATGTATGTAATGTATGTGGAACTTCTTTTGCACTGTACGTAGCCAACCATGCTAATCGGAGGTGTGAGGAAAGACAGAAAACTAAACTATAAATATGCATTGCATGCATTGAATATTTATAGTTAATGACTCCTTGCCACAGCAGTGTGGGCGGGCCTCAGCTGACAAATCTCTGCCTCTTTTTTTGTGTGCAGGTGCAAGGACTGCTGTAACACGCTGCTGCCCGGCACTTACAAGATGGGCGCAGACCCCGGGACCTTCGTGTGCACGCACCACCGCACGCCCAGCCACCTGTCCCGGCGGCCGCCGTCTGTCCGCCCACCCCGACCGCCTCAACCACCCGCCGACGTCAAGTCCCTCGACTCAGGCCCCAAATCGGATCCCAAATCGGATCCCACATCGGAGACCAAAGACGCCGAGATGAGGAGCAGCAGCAGCAGCAGCAGCGGCAGCAAGGTAGACGTGGACCCGAGCCGGCCTCGTCCCGATGGTCTGGCTGACACCCGTGGCCCCGAAGGAGCAGAATTATCCCAAAACCACGGCTCGGAGTGGCCTTCCCACACCAGAGCGGAGTCTCCGACGGACCCAGAAAGCGCTTGCCGCTTTAACGGCGATGGTAGAGGAGAACGGAGCGGAGGGGAGGAGGGCGTCGGAGGCAAGGAGGCGGAGAGCACCACCACCACTACCACCACCCCCCCACCGTGAATGGAGTGCAGGCATCGCTGGCCAGCGAGCCGGACGCCCAAGGGTTAGAGGAGGCATGCGGAAGATCGTTTGCCGCGGCAGCGGGACGAGAAAAGGGGGGCGAGGCGGGTGATCGCAGCACGCCGCCCGCCGAGGACAAGGCCGCCACACCCGGCGGACCGGAGATGACGGCGATCCGACGGAGAGACGTCTGGCGGTTTTCCCGAGGCGTCGAGCGGCGAGGCCGATTCCGGCACGGCCGAACAGAACCGTTCGGCGGCGGAGGAGAGGAGCGAAGGGGAGGGCGCCGCGGAAGGCCACGGGCACGCCTCCGTCCCCACCCCCGCCCCCAGGAGGAACACAGAGACGCCGTCCCCCGGCACGCGGCCTGTGCCAAAACCACGGGGCCACGCGGCGGAACAAACAGGTAAATGGTTTTGGGGCTTCGGCTGCAAATCGAGAGACACGCATTAGGGCAGAAAAATGCCTGCAGGCTGGAATAATAATAATTAGATTAATGTACGAAATGGTTTTTCATTATTATCTTGGCAACCAAGGTTGTTCTGCTGGATGCCTAGAATGATCTTGGTGGTCTAAACCAGGGTTGTGTGCATTGTAGACATACAGTGCCTTGTACGGTTCAGATGAACGTCGCGCTTAACTGCCAACGCGTCCCCAGAAGCTGCACACACGCAGTGGGGACGTGCATCCTGGGGAAAACAAGAGGCCATTTATTCGCTTCGATCCTTTATCATTATTTTTGCTCGTAAAAAAAAAAGATATAGATGAGACATTCATGCATAGGCAGAGTATAAGGTGAAGGTCTTGACCCTGGGAGTAATTAGGAGCCGAGAAGTTGGCAGCACGGGTATCTGGCAGAGGGGAATTTCAGTCTGTGGGGCACTGCCACTGTGGGTGTCGTGGTGTCTGCCAAACAGTCCCGGCGTGTTTTGAAACAGCTACAAGACACGCACCACATTTTATACAAAAATCCTGCTGTTTTTGAGTCTTGCTTTTTTTTCCTCTCCCTTCAGTAAGTAGATATAATTGTTGATTGTGCCGTTGACTGTAGTCGGTGGCGGGTAGTTGCGTAGATTTAATTTAACATCAGCGCAGTGTAACTTATCTGTATTCTAACCAACAACCACGGGGAACCATTCGCTAGTAGGACACCCCCAGGGTCAAAACTGTGGCCGTGTGACCCTGGACTGCGACCTCCCACCGAGCAGATCGGCGCACAATCGATCGGCGAGGGGAGCAGATGCAGCGCGTTAGCGCGAGCGCCGCCTTCACGCGTGTTTTCTGTCTATCTTCTTGGTTCTTTCGGTAAAGTCACATAGAAGGCAAATAATAAAAGAATAAAAATAAAACATAATAAAATTCTCACGACGTTTCGGCCACAACGCAAGCAGCCGTCCTCAGGTGAAGAACAGGGCTGTCGGAAAGACAGCGTCCCTGCAGTCACGAAAGCTTTAAATCGAAATTTTCTGTGTACGTTCAGGTTCGACGGCGGCGCTTCCCGTGCCGCGACCCCGCAGCGTGGCGGCGCCCATCTCCCCGCCGTGGTTGTCCCTGGTGGGGGCCGAGTCCCGCAAGCGGCCCGCGCCGCCCCCTCCTCCTCCGCGCCCACCTGGCCTCAACGCTGGCGTCAGGAGCCCCAAGCCGGCCCTTCCCGGGAAACCCGCTTCGTTTCGCGCCGCGCGCCCACCGGCGGCGGGGTCGGAGCGCAACCCGGAGCCGTCCGGCGAGGCGCGACTCCGACGCGAGGACAAGAGGCAAGAGGCCTCGTGGTACAACCCTTTCGAGGAGGACGACGACGATGATAAAGGCGACGAGAAGGGGACCGGCAAGGAAACGGACAAGTCCGAACACAGCGAGGCGGCCGCCGAAAATGGGGACGCGGGGACGGGGTCGGAAGGTTTGGGAAGCGGATCCGACCTCGCCACGGGCGAGGTCGGCGTGAGCTCGCAGGAGGACGGGGAGACGGGGAACCTCAAAGTGGCCGACCACCCTTGGTACCGCATCACGCCGACCGGGAGCCCGCAGACTCGGAAACGGGTCGCACCTGCAGCACCCGGTACGCCCGGCGCAGTCCCAAAACCCTGTTTCACGAGCATTCGTGGTTGTTCCTGTTTGGGTCTCTGTGGGTTAAACCGGAGTCCGTAGCGAAATCTCTCGCAAATGACGGGGTTACGTTCAACACTTCGCACAGACAGATTGAAGAATCCTCTTCTATGATGTTACATTTAACTCTCGATTATACGTGGGCTGATTACCCGGGTTGCAGATTAGCCATGCTTCGGGCAAAATAAATAACGTGTCTTTGCATGCGAATTGTGTTAACTGAAAGCTGCCCCTCACTAGTAATACAAACACACGGATGTCTTGCCCCCCCCCCCATTCTATTCCGATAAATGCATATTCTTTGGGTCTTTTGGTAAAGTCACGTAGATATTTTCAAAGAAAATAACAAAAAATTACGACGTTTCGATCGCAACACAAGCGGCCGTCATCAGGAAAAGTGGGTTGGCTTCTAAAGGCAAACTGTTTATAAAGGTTTAAGAAATGGGCGTAGCCCAAGTGTCAGCAGCATGGACGGAGTAGCTCATGTTGATGTAAGGGATTAAAAACGGTGTGCCCCAGCATTGGGGGGGTGTAAGAGGTGATGGTAGTAGTGGGCAATGATGGTGCTGGTGGTGGGTTTCCACCAATTAAAGGGCTGCCAGGTAATCATTGCAGCTCGCTTGACACACTCATACTGGTGACGGTGGAGGTTGCTGCCAGAGGTGATGGGAGTGCCCACTACTACCATCACCTCTTACAGCGCCCTGCATCACCTTCTCACACCTATCTACGTGGCTTTACAGAATGACCCAAAGAATATGAATTCCTGCAGTCACGAAGTTATAAGTCAAGATAAATGCATGTTTCACATTCTCGGCGTTTTATGTTGGACACCCCTCCACCACGTTGCTCCGTGTAACTGAGAATTGCCTGTGCCCCCTGGTGACTCGCTATGCTTTTCAACAGGGAAGCGATTGCCCGGATGCTCTTCCCAGCCGTCGACACCTCCGACCGCACGCTCGCTAGCACGGGGACCGCCCCCCCCCAGGCCCCGGTCCACAGAGCCCCCGCTCACGGCCTCCGAGACGTCGCTGAGCGTCGCTCGTTGTGTAGCCGAGCCCGCGGGCCCCTCCAAACCCTGCAGCCAATCGCAACCGGCGCTGTCCGCGCCGGCCGACGCTGCCACCGCCCCCATCGAGGCGCCGCCACCCGTCGCGGCCGCGGCCGCCCCCTCGGCAGAGGACTCTCCCGAGATCCCGCAGCACGAGGTCAAACCCGCAGCGGCTGACTCGCCGGACGGGGCCCCGCCCACGAGCGACGCCCCGCCCATGAGCGACGCCCCGCCCACACCGTCGCAGGCCACACCCCCTCCGCGCCCGGCCACGTCCCCCGGCCTGCTGGTGGCCAATGGGACCTTGAGCGCGGCCGCAAGCCCCGCCCACTCGACGGGAGACACGCCCCCTCCACGCCCGGCCACCGCCCCCACGCGGCTGCCACCCCAGCCTCCTGGCACGCCCAGCGCCCAGCAGAAGGTCAGGGACGCCCCTGTCCGTGTTAAGCCGTCACTCCTTTTCGTGTCGTGGTGCGCGATGAAAGTTCTGCTCCTGGCGCACGACTTTGTCGGCTCTCGCCGTTGTGCTGTACAGCTCACCGATGTGTGTTTCTGGTTGCACTGTTCATTGTTCTGCATAATAATTATAAAGTATATAATGGTTTACTTGTGTCTCCAGGAAAGCCACTCTTATTCCAAGCAGGTGGTGCATTAGGTTCTCTTTTTTTTAAGTGTCTGACAACATTGTGTGTTTATAATGCATGTGGAAGGAAACAGGAGTACCCAGAAAAAAAACATACACACATACACACGCAAGGGGGCAACGCTCTATCCCAGTACAGATTTAAACAAATGGAAATTCGTCCACTTGCTGTACTGCCTTCTGGCGAGCCAGGGTAATCTGAGTAATCTGACACAATTGTATTTACTCTTAAATCCTTTTGACCAAATCACCCCGGAATGTGCCTATAGTCTCATCAGATCTCAGACGTTAAGCCGGTCTTAGCCTGGATAGTGCTTCATTGGGTGTCAACCATTCACAGCTAGTTGCTATAGGCTGGTGATGATGCTGTTGTGGGGTTATGTAGTGAGCAGCAGCAGATGGCAGTGCAGCACAATCCAGTGTTGTACTGTGCTTCTAAGCCCCCACTATCTTTGCTGCCCGCCTTACCATACTGGCTCTGACCAGCGTGGCGAAGTATGGTCAAACAGCCCCCCACGACCCAGCAGTGGATTGACAAGGGGCTGTAATGTGTTTACTGTAGGAAGCGCAAAAAGTAGCTGCAGGCACTGTAAAAAAGTTCTCACTGCGCAAATGCACGGAAATCCGCGGAACCCCGCTGTGTACCGTTCTCCTTTGCAAGGCTAGGCAGCCCCGACAAAGTGGGAGAAACCCGTGTTACTTTTCACAGAATTCGGCTGTTTATTAGGAATGTGGCGGCGGCGGCGGGTCAGTTTCCACGTGGTCTGAGCGGCTGTGGGGTTCGGTCGGATGTCCCGAGGGCCACGTAAAGCTGCCGGCGTTTTCCCCACTCGGTCCGCCGTCGTGAGTGACGGGTCGGTGCCTACGCCGCTGCTTTTCTCATTATTGTGGTCTCACCCCGTCCTGGCCTCGCTTGTCTTTCGCTGCCCCCACACTCCCCCCCCCCCCTCCGCGTGACCCCCTCCCAGACGATCTGCAAGGAAAATCCCTTCGACAGGAAGCCGCTCGTTACATCCTCCTCCCCGTCAGCTGCTCCGGCTCAGAGAAAATCCCGGAACGGACCCAAGCCGCGCCGGCCCCCGGCTCCGGGGCACGGCTTCCCCATTATCAAACGCAAGGTGCGACCGCTCGGCCGCTCGCGCCGTAGAACTTCCACGTTTGTTTTTTTTCGCGGCGCGTATTGAACCGCGTTCCAACATCGCACCTCCGATTGGCACGGTTAGCTACGTGCGATGCAAAAAGAAGTTCAACTTGCATACGTGCATGCATAGTGCACGGCGGCCGTTGCAACGATTACGAATCGCTCGCAGTGCGACTGCGGGTCACCGATCTGAAATCACGAACCACACGGCGATGCCGCTGCCCGCTTCCACATTCCGCCGGCAGCGTTTCAGATATCCGTCGGGCCGATGCTCCCGCAACATTTAGTCGATCGGCAGGTCGCGTGTGGTGGTGGGGGTAAAGTGTGGGTGCTCCCCACCTCTTCCAAAAACGTCTGGTCAGCATGGAAGAGTTGGCCAATTTTTACCCTCTCTTACGCGTTGAAGCCCTTTCACCGGCAGTGGCGAAAACAAGTCATCGCGTACGCCGTCCACGGGGCCACCGGGCTCTGGCGTGAACTTCCAGACATCGCAATCAACTCCCCCCCCCCCCCCCCCCCCCCCTCACCGTACGGAAGACGAAGCGCTGTGTCTCGCGTTGCCCTTCCGTTTGTGCCTGAGGTTGCATTGCGTCGTTCGCTTCTGGATTCGCTGTCCGTTGAAGCGAGCTACGTGCCGTGTGCTTTTTAATTTTGTATTTTTCTGCTTGCTGCGAGCCAAGGTTAGGCTAACCCTTTAGTGTAGGGATGCTGTTTTACTCTCGGCCATCTGTAAGATTACAAAGTCATAATTATTTGTAATTTATAGCCCCCTTTGTGAGCCCACATTTCCTATAGCTTACTCATGTGATCGGTTGGCCACTAAATTTTCCATTATTCTGTTCTCAATGACCTTGATGATGAACGGCACGTGGCGGGCGCAATAAGAGGGGGCAGATTGGTCCCCATAGGTCTTCCCATCGGTTGTATTGCTCTCTCTCCACATAGCAGGGTGACCGAGCGAGGCATCGGTCCGTGAGCGAGGCGTTTCATCAAACGTAGGCCAAAAAAACGAAAGTCACGTTCCACAACATCGCCAACCAATTGAGCGTGATGTATCTGTTGAGAGAGAGACGGCATCGAAAAACACGCCGGCCTATGTGTGGACCAAGGGGCAGCGGTTATGCAGGGGCAGGCCAGGATCGGAATTACTAATGAAAGAGGTGAAAAGAGGTGAAAGTTAGAGTGTATGTGAGGAGAGCTGAACTCAACGAAAGTAGCATACCGGTTTACCTAAAGAAGACTTTTTTTAAGTTTATAATTGATATTCTTAGTTTCTAATCAGTATATAACTTGGTATATATGCTGATAATTGTCGATGTTGGTGAGATGTGTGTACACACACATACAACTGTGGCTATAAGATGTTTTACGACTTTGATCGTTACTGTTTCAGATGTGTACACACACACACATATCACTGGATATGAGATTTATTATGACTTTGATCGCTGCTATTTGATGCTGGGAGTTTAGATTTTTTGGGCCTTTGTGCCCCATCCTCAGTAACTGTGTTTTATTAAATACGGTAAGTCCTCGCTTAACACGTCGCTGTGTTCACACTGGAACGTGTTTGCGCTGCAGCTCGCTTCTTCCATTCGTGGACACTTTCTGCACGACGCGGATCGCGCCCCGTGATAACGCGGAACCCATGACTGTTACAATTCTGGAATGTGCACCGTTATAACTCGGTTTCTGTATGAATGAATGCATGCATGCTGAACTTGTTTCGCACCGTACGTAGCCAACCGTGCTAATCGGTGATGCGGCCCGATGACGAACTACTTTCTTGACCTGCACGGCTGAGCGGTACAGCGATACAGTACGCAGGAAGATACAGTAAAGCGGCAGCGTACCCTCAGTTATTTGTCCCGCCATCTTACCGTGTGTGTGTGTGCGTCGTGACTCACCAGACTTTACCGTGAAATCATTTATGGGCTAATCTTTTTTATTTAACGCGTTTTTCGCTTTCCGCGGCACTTTTCAACAACGCATCTACCACGTCCAGGCGAGCTCATTGGTGGCTTAGTTTAGCTCGCGAGCAGCTGGCACCAACTTGTGTGTGTGTGTGTGCGCGCACAGGTCCAGTCCGGGGAGCCGGTGCCAGAGGAGGAGATCCAGAGCGAGCTGGAGCGCATCGCTAGGCAGCTGGACCGGCTGGAGCGACAGGGCGTTGCCATGGAAACCAGCTTGCGCCAGGCGGACGGAGGTGGGTGTGCCGGTGTTTCTGCCCACCGAAAGGGCGATGCGAGAAAGGCTCTGATCTTGTAGATGCCAAACTTGGGCTGTCACGAGTGTTAAACCTTGTCGAAAATTAATTGGGGTTTTACGGTAAGGAAAACCTAAATGGCTCTCTTGGTACGTGATGTCACATCAGGCTGGCAATACAACAGTTACTCCCGTTATATGTAACGGTGATATTCTTAGCCGTGGTAAAACCACTCGCCTGCTTGGCACGTTAATCTGATCTGAACTGTCATGTGGAACTCCTGCACACATCTGTCGCTCCACAAAAAAAAATATATTTTTAAAATGTTATACTTCTCCTAAGACATCTGGCCAGCGTGGAAGAGAAGGCCAAGTACCCTCTAGAGCTCCCTCTAGTGGAGGCCCGTCCGCAAGCGGTGTTGCGTAGCAAAGATTGTCTGTCCCTTGACCCTTTACCTTTGAGGACACACTGTATGTACGTACGAGAGCCATTCACATTTTGGGTCGTGCCGTCCGTCGACTGCCTCCTTAACTTTACTCACCCGGGCGGTACCCTCATCAACACGCCCAAACGCTGACTCCCTGCACCTCCCCACCACCACCTCTGTCTCCCCACCACCTCGGCTACCAACTCGCCCTCCCACACGTCTGACACCGCGTTACCCGCAGCACTGTACGAGATTTTCTTTGAAAAAAATTCCAACTGGATTGCGATTCTCAGAAAAAATATTTGTAACGAAATAAAATCCAGCCCAGTGAGCCAAAGTTTCCTCCTCCACGAATCCCCCCCCCCCTACCACCACTGCTGTGTACCCCCAACCTCTGGTGGTTATGGGAACCACATGCTCGCGGCATCTGACTCTGTCGGTAACCACGAGAGTAGCGGCGATTCTACGATAAATCTCGTACGTCACCGATAAAGGCACAGCCCTGCAATTGCTCGCTCGTGCCTCTGCTGGCAGAAGGGACTCCCTGAGGGGGAGCTCCAGACACACGCGGAACTGTGCGGCATGAGCGAAAATCCGCGCAGTGGCCACTGCTCTGCTCGCTCTGCGTTCAGAGAGACGCGGCTTTGATGTGTGACATGTGTTTTGTATCAGCGGGGCAGTTGCTTCCATTTGTGGGGAACGGAGCACGCTTATTTATTTTTTATCTTCCGTATATTTCACTACTTTTAATCGCTAGTAGCTGGAGGGGGGCTGCTGCATTGTAGGGTTTTACCCTTGCCTCTGTTGTTTGAAGGTCATGGGTTTGAAACCAGCTTCAGCCGCCAGACTGTTTGTTTGTGTTCTGCCCGAATGTGCCATGTGAACTGGGTGTGATTGTGTAATGTGCCCCGTGCCACAACACAGAACCGCAGTCTTTCTCTTGAATGGCCACTTGTAGTATCGCCTCCTGTAATTAACGCATTGTCTTTTGTTACAGCAGCCTCCCAATTGGCCGCTGTAATTGGGTGGAACCCACCGTGGAGAGGTTACGTCGACTCCAACTTATTCACTGTGTTCTTAAGCGCACGACGAACCCCGGCAAATTGAGTCTGTTTCCAGGCCACAGCCAACATTAGTGGTCCTGGTCCACCCTTAGGCCGACTCGGCCTTAAATGAGTAGCGGGTACGGTGCGGTTTTTTTTTCCGGCCACACCACCCACTCGCGCGCCAATTCCAACCTTAACATGCTCTCACCAACGGCTCTTGTCTGAAAACACCGCGCGATGGGCGGGGTGGTGGATCTTTGTCTTTGCAGAGGAGGGCGAGAATCCGATGATCACAGACTGGTTCAAGTTGATCCACGAGAAGCACCTGCTTCTGCGCCAGGAATCTGAGCTCATCTACATGTGAGTATACCCGCCGTGCGGGGTGGGGGGCCCCACCCCCCCCCCCCACAACTGGTTGCTCTTTGCTTGTCGCCGTCTGCAGGACTCGTTATTAAGATTAGCGATTGCCCTCTTGGCGGTTCCCTCCGGCGGTTCCCTCCGGCGATGCGGTGCAGGAAGGGCTGCTTATTCCATGCGGGCCTGATGAGGTGGGGGGGGGGGGGGGGGTGCACAGTGGGTCTGTCTGTTCAAGAGCACCGGGCTCGCAAGGGCCCTGCGTTTTACATGGACGCGTTCACTTTATTTTTGTACCGCACATGGCAAGCTGGAGGAGCTTCCCAGTCGGCATGCAGCATCAACCGTGTTGTTTAAAGGGAGACCCATCCAGCAGCTCGGGGAGATGGCGGATCACCACGGTGAATGTCAAACCAACCTTGAGCAGACGTAAAGACAGAATGAGCGGCGATGCGATCTGTTTTTTGGCTGCCGTGCGGTCTGCCCCCCTCCCGTGTGTACGAGGAACGGCTGCAATGCCCATCGTGTAGTTGCGCGATTTTTGTGCCGACGTGTTTTGACTTGGGACTGTAGAAAAATGTAGCCTTCGGCAGGGGGCGCCCAGCCCCCTCCAAGCGACAGGAAAACGGAACCACTTTGTGGTTTACACGTTTGCGTCACCATCTGGTAGTGCTCGTTTAGTCGTATGCGCGTGCACGTGCGGCTCCGGCTTTTTACACGTTATGGGATGCGCCCACTGCCTCTGGTATTTTCAGCTGTCAATGTGGGGATTTCTGTACGCAGATCCAAACAGCAGATCTTGGAGGAGCGACAGGGAGACGTGGAATTTGAGCTCCGGCGCCTGTTCAATAAACCCGGTGAGTGGCCGCCCTGTGACCCAGCCAAAGTGTCCCACGTGTTCACGCATGTGTACACATGCGTGTACACGTGTACACATGTGTGTATGCATGCGTGCACGCGCGTCTTGGGTAGTCGTCAAAGATTGTGGGTTGCCATTCGTCTCAAGAATCTCTTCTCTTTTGTCTCCTTTCCACTATCTCATTTGTATTATGCTCACTCCCTTCGCCGAAATGTAACGGGCATATCATGTACGCATCGTTTGCAACGATCAATCCTCCAATGGGTGAAGGCCTCCCCAATCTTCCGTCATATCCCAGGATCCCTGCAATGTTACAATCCGCTGTTGTCACGCGCGCGCGATCCAGTTCCGTCGCTCACAACTCCGCGGCCGACAGCCTCTCAGACGCGTTCCATGGCCCCATCTTCGTCCTTCACCATCGGCCACCGTCCCTTTTTGCCTGTGACGCGTCCTGCCCCAAAGCCTTACACGCTTATCTCGACTCTTCCCAACGATGTCTTTAACCCGCGTATGGTTATCTGATCCACGTGGTCCTCTTTCGGTTTTTCCAGTATTGTTCCAAATATTCATCTCTCCTCCGCCCTTCTTCGCGCACTCCTGGTCTTTTTGCTCTGCAGTGTTGTAGTTAATCGCCATGTGCCCGAGCGATTTGGAGTACGCGCTCATTGAACACTTTCTACTTTCGGCACATCGGTGTGTTGCCTGTGAATTAATAATCGATGCTCGCTTGCACAGTTGAGGTACATCTTGAAAATAATAATCCTAAGTCCATCGGAAAACCTTTTCGGTTTTAACAATGCACTTTTTCATCCACTTAATCGTAGTGCACTTAACATAAGCCGGCTTCATGCACCATCAGATTTTAATTCATCAAGTTTGTCCGGGATATCACCTAAAACCAATGCATCCATCGTGACCTGAAAAAGAAAATACTTTTTTTTTAGGAGTCTGTGCCCCGCTGAATGTTGTGTGCTCTTAGGCAACTGGTTTTTGTTACATCTGGTCGTTTATTTTTGTAAACGTTGTACTAGCGGAGAAACCATCAATCAGCGTGCGTCTCTTTATTCTTAATGGGAAGAGGGCAGAGGAGGACGAATTAGAGGAATGCTCCCACTCTCCCCGTGCGCCAGAGCTGTTCGTGTGTGCGCACACAGCAGCAGGAGATCTCTAGAGCTTCCTCTTAGCGGGGGGGGTGGGCCTTCTGCCAGCAGTGGCGTGAGCCAGAAATTGCAGGGCTGCGCATTTACCTTGTTACATGAGTAGCCGTTTCGAGTTAGGAAAATTTCAAGGTTTCGGTTGAAATAATGATCAACTGTAAGCGGAAAACTGTCAAAAATATCACGATGGGAAAGATGAGACCAGACCTACTTAAAATGGCTCATCTCCTCATAACAGAGGCCAGGCGCTGCAGGGCAGATGCATTGTACCTCTGGCGAATGCTGCGGTGGGTGCAATCGCCCTAAGGCACCACGCGCCGTCTGCTTCGTTACGGATCCTGTGACGCCATTCACAAGAGTAGGCCCCACTGTGTTCCAGCGTCGTGGTTCACCATAGCCGAATAAAAACCAAAAAAACGACACCGCAAAATACTCAATTGGAATCGACACGGCGGTCATCGCCGCCTGCTTGCAGAAGCCTGGCCCCGCACTCGCGTGTTCGCCGCTAGTTTGCAGAGGCTCGTGGGTCGAAGCCAGCGGCGGCAGCCTAGCCCCCTGGTTACTTCTGACTGTTTAAAATACACCACGCGCCATCTGCTTCACGCGCAGTGGACATTCAAGATCCCGTGATGCCAGTTCAAGAGAGCGGGCCGTTGCGTGCCGGCGTCATAGTCCAAAAGTTGCCAAATAAAACAAATCACACTGCAGAATTACTAATTAGGTATTATACACAGCAGTCATCGCCCCCCCCCCCCCCACTCTGATAACCTGACGGGGGCCCTCCAGAAAACGAGTCGTGAGACTCGGGCCTTCCCGGGTCGACAAGCGTAACAAAGAATAATAAAATAATCGTCATCATCGTTCGAAGGTGGCTGGCTGTCTTCGGGAGCTAATTCCGCGTCTGAGACACTGGGCCAGCACAGCCGGCATCCTGGGTTCCAATCCAGGTTTCTGTCACTCGAGATTAAACCGGTTAAACCGGTTTGTCAAGTGTAGCGCGTTGAGTCACGAGGCTAAACAATGAAGTGATAATAATATAAAACTAACCGTCTCATTGAGCCATGCGCTCAAGGTGGCGGTGGTCATGGGCCGTTCCTACGACCGGTTAATTAACCCATCGTCGGCACGAGCCGCCCCGTGTCCTTGATGGCCTTGAGGACATGGACCGGTCAGGCAAGTCGGTTGTGATGACGAGGCCGCGACTGTGATGGCGGCTCAGACTCGGAGAAGAGCGCGGAGGATCGAGCGCGCGAGGAGGAGCTCCTGCAGGAGCTGGTGAGCATCATCGAGGCGCGCAACTGCCATCGTGGAGAGCATGGACGAGGAGAAGCACAGGTGAGGGTGCGTGCCGCTGACGCGTGCCGCTGACGCGTGCCGCTGGCGCGTGCCGCTGGCGCGTGCCGCTGACGCGTGCGGCTTACATGTGCCGCTGACGCGTGCCGCTGGTGTGTGCCGCTGACGTGTGCCGCTGGCGTGTGCGGCTGACGTGTGCCGCTGGCGTGTGCCGCTGACGCGTGCGGCTGGTGTGTGCCGCTGGCGTGTGCCGCTGACGCGTGCCGCGCGTCGCTCGCTCGCTCTCGGCAGAAGAACGTTCTCCCCAGAGTCTGGATTTCGGGGTCGCGGAGGGGAACCAGGATGTACGGTTACTTGCGCTGTGGTGTCCCAGGCGCAAGGTGTGGCTGTACGCAGCCCTGCAATTCCTATATGACGATAGGAAGCAACACAAACCGATGACGCATTGCGCGGCATCACCACGCCCCTCTCTGTACACAAAACCTCTTTTGCGATTTGCATTATCCGCTATTGTTTTTTTAAATCCGGGCCATCCCTCCTGTGCCAGCACCCTCGGTAATTGAGCGCCGACCGTCATCGAAATAATCCGCCCATGTTTCCGTCGTTTAATTAAAAAAGCCTGGGAACTTAGAACCGCGTCGGGAGTTGCGGCTTCCCTTGAGAAGTAAAAAAAAGAGTCTTTCAAGCGGCGCTCTGAATATTCAACATCAACACCGCTGGAGCCTCGCACCAGCGCCCGAGAGCACGAGCGCGCGAGAGCGTTGACGCTTAGCGTGGGGGGCGTGGGGGGCGGCTCGCCTAACGTTTGTGATCGATGGCGGGGCTCCTCCAGGGATGAAGAGGAGGACAAGGCCCTCGAGGGAGTCATGCTCAAGAAGGGTGAGTCATCATCACCACCACCACCACACCCGCAAGCGCTTCCTATTAATTTTTCTAATCATATTCTTGGCACTTTACAATATTGAACGCCATGTGTTCACCAAATCCCCCCGGAATGCGCCCGACCTCATCGGATCTCGGAAGCTAAGCAGGGGCTGATCCCAAAATGGTGATTGGGAGGGTGACCATCCTGAGCACCAGGTTGTCGTAGGCAACTGCGTGGCTATGCTACACGGTGGGCAGCAGCAGAGGGCCAGTGCGGCGAAATGTACAGTATGGTAGTACTGTGCTTCTATGCTCCTACCTCTCTATGTGGGGGACCGCCTTCGCTAACCCACACTGCCCAGCATGGTGAAGTAGAGATCAAATAACCTCCACGGCCAGCACGGAGAGGAAGACTTCATCCAGCAGCGGATTGACAGCGTCTGTAATTGTACACCGCGCATTTTGTACATTGATCGGTGCCGATGATGCACGTGCGTGTACACGCGTACGTGCGCGCCATGCCGGGCCTTAATAGGCGCTCGCTAACAGCACTTAACATGTAGGTGTTTGCGGCCAACATAACGTACGATTCGTAAGAGGGTTATGGGTTGGGCCTAGATAACGATCTGGACAGATTTATAACGTGAACCCTCCTCCCCATCACCCGCCAGAGCCCGAGCATTTAAACCATCGTCACTGCACCGGCATTTTACGAGCGAATTGTAATCGTTCGTGCTCACAACCACGTTTGGCGATTCCGAAAACGACGTCTCGAATGAAACTGCGTCAAGCATTACGGCACTTGTCCCAACGGGTTACGTGGGGGGGGGGATTTTTTCTCTGTCCACAAGCAGAGTTCCTGAAGGCGGAGATGGACGTCCGCTCCACCTCCTCGTCCTCCGCACCGGGCGACAGGAAGAAGGGAAAGTTCAAGCCGCTCAAGCTTCTCCGTCGCTCCAGCACCAAGACCGACAAGAAGAGTGGGGGCAGCGGGGGGCGCATCGGGGGGCAGCAAGGGCACGGCTGGGGCAGCAAAGTGAGCGGTCAGCGGCGTCTGGGTTCATCGTGGAGGCCGGTGCGAAGACGTAGGAGCTGCGTCGTCAACTCGGGCCGGAGCGGTTGCTTGAAGGCCGTGAGCCTCCAACATGGTTGTCAAGAGTGGTGGCGGCGCAGGTGGCTGAGAACGGAGCATGTGTGAGTGTGTCTCTCCGTGGGAACATGGCACTGGCCGCGCCTGCCTGTTGATATCGGCTGCTTTTGGCAGGAGGCATGTAATGATTCGTTGACCAAACAATCGGTGTGTACGCTCGCCCACGTGTTCCATCGGATTCAATTTTTTGTGGTTTATCAGACCTTACCATAGAGCGAACGAAACTGATTTAGGCTCAGACAGTGGTGCAGAACGTACGAGGTCGAACGACGCCGGCGAGACGAACTAGAACGGGTAATTGAATCAAAGAATTGGCAAATACTTGGCGTGAATCGCGACAATCGGATCTCGGGGGTGGGGGGGGCGGGGGAGAGGTGGATCATTATTACATGGCGATTTGAGAGGCTGCTTGGCAAACGCCCCTGAGCCCACGAGATCACTTTGTGAGTCGTGGAGCAGAGGGCCGGCCTCTGCTGTTGAAGGCCTTGCCTGTGGTCGCCACGCTGCACTACCACCCGCCTGCGGTCAGCAGTTCACGGACGGTAAAGGTGCAGCCCTGCAATGGCTTGCGTCGCCGCTGGCAGCAAGGGTCTCCGCTGGAGGACGCTCCATAAAGGCCCCTCTGGAGGGCATTTTGGCCCACTCCTCCACACTGGCCAGAGTACCCACACTTTACCCCACCACACAAGACCTGCCCATAAACTGTGTTGTACCTATTTATACTGCTGGGTGGACCGGCGCGTTAGGGACGGTGGCGTGGATTAATAAATGTGCTCCAGTGTTTCAACTGCCGCGCCGGGAGATCGATCCGATTACTTGCGGATTGCAAGTCCCAAGTGTATGACCATTACACCGCTGGCAGCATCCACGCACGTCACGTTGCCTGCGTGTGTTGTGTACGTGAAGCCTGGCCAGAATTCTGAAGAATATGGATACAAGTGTTACCACCAACAGCCTCGTGCCCACACTCCGAAACCTCTGCGGGTGATTTGACCCTCCCAAGTTACCGTCATTCTTGCGAATGAGACTGCTACCCTGGCCTCTGGAGTTCCCATCTGGTCAAACTAAATACGCTTGAGGGTCAACAGCAATTTCGGCAGCCCCATTGGTGGGAAAAAGCATTATTAACACTTTATATCCTTGCAATAAAGCACACGATTATTTCACAGCGACGGTTATAATCTGCCCACACACTGGGAGTCGTTGTGTTCTCCGCACGCGTGTGTGAGTTGTGCGCACTTGGTCATGTCTCCTCAAGTGGCTCTGGTTATGATGAATCCTCCGCTGGAGCGGGATTTGTTTCTGGGCGAATTGCCGGTGTCGTAGCAGAGCGAAAGCAGACGGACGCGAATATGCGCGCACAGATGGAACGCGCACGAGCACGCATTCTGATGTGTGGCCGTGTGGAGGTGGTGTCTCCGCGCGTGGACTGGAATCCAGCACCGTTGAGGATAGCACAGATGTTGTCAAACTCCCTTCCCGTGGGTCTTTGAAGTGCCTGCCAGAAGGCGGTGGTTCAGGCGAAGTGTGGACTGGCCCCATCTGTTCTATCTCTATGGGATCGAGCGTTGCCTCCTCGCACGTGTGCGTTTTCTCTGGGTGTTCCGCTTGCCTCTCACACCCACATGTCTGCGTTCAATAATTCATATAGAGGACCCCTCCTGTCCTTCCTGTCACTCTTTTTCAATATATTTTCTCTTCAGCCAAATCATTATGGCCATACCGAAACATTAGTCAACAAACACCCAATATTCAAATTCAGTTTGCTGTCCGGTGCATTCTCTTTTATAGGATTTGGAGAGACGCACTCGCCATAGGATAGTGTTATTTATGGTTTGCCAGCGCTTTAGTCAAGCCTTAATTCCAGTGTTTTATGCGCGTTTATTTAGAGTTGTAAGCGCTATATCAACTGTTAGAATCGTTTTGTATTTAAGCCCGACGTTAGTTCCCGCGTCATAGGCGAGTAGTGTTGCCATCGTTGGTAGGTGAGCAGGTTCCGTACTTTAGACCCCGATGGCGTTGTATTTATAAATGGCGTTTGTAAGTCAATCATATAGCCTGCATTTCTCTACGACAGCTGCCTTCTCAACTTGTATTCGCATGGTTCTGTAATTGTCAAAAGCTGTACGTTGTTGGCTGCGCGCGTGTGCGCTAGGGGGAGGTAGGGTGCGGCGGTTAGCGCGCCGCTCAACGGAACCCGGCGACCCGAGTTCCATTCACGGCCACCACCTCTGACGGTGGCGAATATTTGAACCGGTCCTGGGACTTCCTATAGGTCGACCCAGCCTTGAATGAGTAAGTACCTGGTGCGGTGTGTAAACATCGGCACTCGGGAGACAAAGGCGGCCTGGCGTGGCGTTGGTCACCCACCCGGTCAGTGAGCCGTGCCGGCCTTCATCGGTGCTCGCTAACAGCACTTGCCCCAAAAACCTGTTAGGGCTATATGGGGGAGCTTTGTTTTTGTAGCGTGCCTGCCTTCCTGGCCTTGGTTCGTCCTGCCCACTTCACGTTGTTTTGTGTTCTTGGCGAATGCTGGTCGTGCGCTAATGTCTGTTTATGGAAGAACGGAGATACCGGCGTGAAATCTATCGCAGTGCATGTCGAGGGTTTCTGTTTCTCCTGAGGGTTTGGTAGTTTTGCTGTTAATAAAGTGGGACCAAGTGCAACTCTGGACGGATGACCAAATGTAGAGTGGTTTGCAATCGCACACACACGAGCTGCGTCACCTTTCCCAAGTGTTTATTTCAACGAGACTGTTAAGCACATTTGACATTTTGCCGTGATTTTTTTTTTATTAATCGGTTCTGTCCCCTGTGACTTTAATTAATTCGGTTGATATTGTGTCAAATAAAGGCATGTGGAAACCATACGGGGGAGGCTGCCGGTCTGCTTTGGAAGCCACGTGCTCATCCGTCACATCTGCGCGCCCTCCAAACCCTCGTGAACCACCTCCAGTGGCTGTGTTGATGATGTGCGGTGCGCGGAGCCGCGTGGTGCCTCTACAAAACGCCGGTGGCGAGCGGGCCCAGTGCAGAACGATCTGCGTAACAAACAAGTACCGGCGTGAACGTCGCGTAACATCCCAGTGAACGACGTTGGCGTGTGGCTGGAAACCTTTGGGAAAACGTCGGTCCAGCAACCGTGCGGCAACCACCACTCCTCCCCCGGCAGAGCGAACTCGAGGGAAACAAGACACATCTTCACGGCAATCGTCATGTTTATTGTTATTCGTCGGTGGGGGTGGGGTGGGGGGGGAGGAAAAAAATCAAGGTATAATAATAAATAGCCATCTCTCAGGACAAACAAAACCAAGATTGTTATGAAGAGGGGGGGGGGGGGGCGCGGGAGGCGTCACAACCACGCTTTGTCAAGCAACGTCTGTTGTGACACCCACCGGACTCGAAACAGCCAGGGGGGGGGGGGGTCGGGGCACTGACCAATTTTCTCTCGGATTACCGTCAAGCGAACACGATTACACGGCCGGGGAGCGGCGTGGGTGCTACCGCGAGGAGGAGGGATGAGGAACAGGGAGGACACGTGAACCATGTACACAGCACAGCCTTTCCCACCCGAAGCAGGTCACCGCGATTATTCCGTTTAACAGTCGGGGATTTCTTGAACAGCCCCGTTAAACGGTGTGCGCGGGGATGGTGGTGGTGGTGGAGGAGGAGGGGGTGGGTAAACGTTTAGTAAGTGCTACAGAATGTAGAAGTTAAGAGGCAAAAATAAAACACGTAAATTAAAATATAGTACCGTGTCATGTAAACACCGCCGCTAAAAAAAAAAAGGCTTCTCCACGGGGATTTGCCCGGGCAAGTGAAGATCTTTGTTTTCAGCTTGGTTTCACAAATCCGACTGCGGGTTTCACTCGACAGTTTTAAGACTTGCCGGCCACGAGAGTGGCAGGAATAAGTGCTACATGTCGACGGTGGCTTGGCCAGAGCTGCATCGGCCCAACGAAATAAAAACAAACAACTCCCCGGGGGACTGGCGCGCAGTCGGGCGAAGGCTTCTTTTCGGGATCCGCTCACCGGCTCTTAACCGTTTGCCGGGCGTTCCTAGAAAATCACAAGCCACTGCAACCCATTCCCGCGCACCCTGCACAAGTTAACCATTTCCGCGAGTTTGCTACCCTTGTCGGTCACATCGAAGTGGCCTTAGGTGGGGAGATGGGAGAAAGGGGCATGGCGTCAAGTGGTACGGACGAGGACTGGGGAGGTAGGGGCTATAGGAATGTTCAATGCTTCTTTTGCCTCCAACAACGTGGCAGAAACTGGCACCAATTGCCGCTACGTGGGACTTTGTTTAGATCGTCTACGTCGCGCGGGTCTGTGGCGTGCGCGCCGCGGGGCACGGAGCCCTCTCGAGGAACGGATTCGTCGCTGGAAAGCGGCGGCGCTTTGTACCCACGACCGTCACCCGTCGACGATTGGAAAATGTGGTCCTCTACCTGGGATTATCGACGCGAACGTGGTTTATAGCTGCTGCTGTTCCCCCGACTGGAATAGGGGACGACGCGGCAGGGGAACGGTGGAGCCACGAGGTCGAGCGGGGTCGTGACCTCGAACGAGGTCGGGAGCCCGGGCCAGCGGACGCTTACCGGACAGGGCGGAGGGCGACCGGCCGATAGGACGTGCTCGTGAACGTGTCGTTGCATCGCGCAGAGTTGTGTCCGGGAGCTACGTGTCTGAACGAAGAAACCTCGTGCTGCGTGCGGGGGCCATTGCATCTGCGTGTGGGTCTCTTGTTTGATGCACACGGCACTGTGACAGGAGTGTGCGAGTTTGCGTGCGTCCGAGTGCGTGTGTGCGTGTGTGCGTGAGCGCGGGCTTGAGAGTATGAGCACGAGTGCGCGAGCGTTGAGTGCGTGAGCATTGAGTGCGTGAGCGTGTGTGAGCGCGGAGAGGCGTGGAGTCGGCCTACGCGTGCTGGGCCTGACCCAGGACGCCCATGACGATGGAGGCCACGTGCTCTGTGCTGCTGCCCTGCAGGAAGCTTCTGTGGTCTCCGTCGACGACATGCAGCTTCACGTTGCCGGTCACCACCTGCGGGGCGACACGCAACACACGAGCGTTAAACCCCGACCGCTCCCCAGCAACGTGACCTCGGGACGCGACGTCGCGTCAAACGAACGTGTCGCGTGCCCCCCGTCGCGTGCCGAGAATGAGCGAGCGCGCCACCTGGCTGAGGTTGTAGTCTTCCCCGAGGCCGTCCCCCGTGGGACTCCCGGACTCGGCGCGCAGCAACGTGACGTCCGAGACCAGCTTCCTCATCGGCTGGTACTTGTCGGCGGCGTGCAGCTTCCCGTAGAAGGAGCTGGCCGAGAAGGAGAGGTCGGTGCGCTCCAGGCCGGGGTGCCGCGCCAGGATGATGTCGCACACCGCCCCGGCGCGCGCGTCCAGCGAGGGCAGCGCCAGCAGCGTCTCGAACGTCTGTGGTGACACGGAGGCCGCTGTTCACTTGCGAGAGGGCGCCTCCCTCTCGCCCGCGCGTGCGATGCGACCGATGGATCGTCACGTTAAACTCTCGTGGTGGACCCTGACGGCCGATGAGACACGGAACGTTGAAACCGGTGCAAGGTTCGTTTGCGCCGAACCAATGCTGCCGAGGTTGTGCGCTCCCAGCAGGCGGTGGGGCTAAATGGGACGGTAAATAATCATTTTTGTGCCGATTACCAGAAACGTGAAGGGGGACGATTTGTTCGTGTTACTTATTCTCCACAGCGTGCAGATGAGGGAGGGACGCCTACACCTCCTGGGGTAGAGTTCAAATCCTGGTTCGTGGTCGACTCAGCCTATCGTCCCTCCCTCAAGGGTCGCTAAAATAGAAACCACTTTGTCGGGACAGGTGGGACTTACCTGGTAAAAGAAGTAAAAAATGTAATATCTGTTCTCGTAAAACGCAAGGAAGGGCGACGTGCAATGTGCTCGGTGCATGGAGTCACCTTCTGGCGCTCGACGGCCACGAACTGCTGCACGAACGCGCACATCGATTCCGACTCTTCTGCAGCGACGTCTCTCAGCTTGGCCTTGTATCCCTGGAGGGTGGAGCGGACCGGACCGGACAAAACAGAGCAACATGAATTGGGGAAGAACGCAGCGTCGCACACGCGGCATTCACAAGGCACCAAACGTCCCGATGTGGCCGGCGGGGCGATCCCGGTGAGTCTCCCCCTCCCCGCCCGTCTGCGGATGGTGGGGCTACCTGGGCAGTGGGTGTCGTTACCGTAGTGTGTGGGGCTACTTTCGTGGGCGGTGCTAGTGGTTGAGTGGGCGTGGCTATGTAAAAGTGGGGCGGGGGGGTAGATTTATATTGTCTTTGTTGCTGTACTGTGTTTTTTCATCTTTTCGATTCTCATTTCGGTGACCCAGGTCGGTCAATTTTGAGAATTCCCTTGCCTCTGAGTTCTCGCCATGGTGAAACAAAAATATTTGAAACTGATCGTGAAACAAACGCGCGAGGGGGCGGCGAGCTTTCACCTGCGTGTGCGCAGCCACGTAGTTGTGCGAGCCGTCCAGCAGCAGGAGCGTGTTACCGCTCGGCCCCTTCTTGCCGGCGGCCGCCGACTGCAGCTGCAGGCTCATCTCGAAGGCCACGCACGCGCCGAACGAGTATCCGGCCAGGCGGTACGGCCCCGTGGGCTGCACCCTGCGCACGTGCTCCAGGTAGAACGTCGCCAGGCTGCTGATGCTGTCCAGGGGCGCCTCTGGAGCAAGCGAGCGAGCGAGGGAAGGAGGCAACGGAAAATTACGGACGGACATGCACGAGCGGATTTATAGACCGCAAGGGCCACGCTATTGACCGTCTTGCCGTCTCGCTCGTTCTCGGTCGGTGCTCCCTCACGGCACTTCCCCGACGGTCTCAACAGGACTACGTGGGGAGATCTACGTGGGAAGCGGCCGGCGGGTCGCGCCGGAGCCCTCACCCTCTGTGCACTGCAGGCCGTAGCAAGGCACGGGCAGCTTGGAGGCGAGCCTCTTGAAGGCGATCGGCGTGCCCTCGATGGGGTGCACGAGGAAGAGCGGCGGCGCGGCGCCGTCCGCGACGTCGTTGATGCGCTCGAGCGTCGCGCCCAGGCGCGGCACCACCAACTCGGGGAGGGTCACCTCCAGCTGGTCCGGCGATACCGGGCGGGGCTCCGCCAGCGCTGCCAACACGCCACAGCGACGGAGAGAATCGACGATTAATGTGGCCCGTTGTCGTGCGGTCGCGCCGGATGAGTCGCGGTTCAAAGTGCGTGCGAGGGCGTTAGGGCCGTGATCGTGTAACGGTTAGCGTGCTGCACTATGAACCCGGCCCACGGCCAACAGTGATGAATATCTCAACTTGTCCTGGGCCTTCCCCTAGGTCGACCCAGCCTTAAATAGGGTGTGTAAACATCAACACTTGGGAAACAAAGGCGGCCAGGTGTGGTGCTAGCCACCCACCCCCTCGTGGGCAGGGCTGGTCTTCGAGGGTGCTGCTCGCTAAAAGCACTTGCTAAATGGGGCGGAGGGAGGAATTTTGGTTGGCGATGCCACCTGAAGCGCAAAGAAACTGGGACATCATGGCAAAAGAATGGCTCACAACACCAGCCGAGGTGAGAACTGCTAGGACATTTTGCAGCCGGATTTCACAGGACAGCGGCTACCTCCTCAACGAGCGCACAATCCTGGAAGCACCAGAGCAGGTGGCGAGCGGAGTTGCCCGCAGAGCCGTGGCGAGCTCCTTGATCTGCGCTGTGCGCGCGCCCCTCACCGGTGTTGGAGGCGGAGAGCTCGCGGAGCTTGGTGACGGTGAGCTGCCGGATGTCGCGCATGGACAGCACGAGGTCGTAGTCGCGCTCCAGCGTCTGCCGCACCTCGACGCCCATCAGCGAGTCGAGGCCCAGGTCGGCGAGCGACGACTCGGGGTTGATGCTGCTCACGTCCCGCACACCTGAGCGGAGCACGCGGACCGAACGCCCCGCGCGTCAGCTCGCGACGGCCGTCGACGACGCTAACGGCCGTGCGCCGCCGAGTGGGTGGCGGCGACCTCCCCGCACGCCCGCGCGCTGACCGCGCCGAAACGAGCGCCGCTAACCGACGGAGCCACGGGTTCGTTTGCTGCCGCGTCAACCAGCGGCGCCAATGACGGCCAGAACAATGGTATGCCGGCGTTCGCCACTAGGTGTCGGCGAAGTACCACTAACGCAGACACCCGGTGTAAGTCGGTACGCCGCAGCCGGCACTTCCCCGGAACACCGAACGTGTAAAATCTGCACGTGTCGCCACGATCCCTCGTCCACCGCGGAGACATTCGCATTCCGAGCACCGCGCACGCCGTAGCTCATTCATCTCACCCAGGATGTGGGCCACGGCCTCCACCAGGTCCTTCTTGTCGGCCTGGTCGGCCCGGGCCGCGGTGGAGCGCTCGGCCAGCACGAAGCTGGAGAGCACGGGGTGGCCCTGCGACAGGAAGCGGTCGAGCGTGTCGAGGCAGGAGCCGATGCGCTGGGGCAGCGTGCCGCCGATCACCGTCTCGTTGTCCCCCATCGACTCGAGCACCACGCCCACGTCGCCGATGGCGCCCCACTGCACCGCCAGGCCTGGTACCACCAATCGGGGGAGAGGAGGGAATTGAGGACGGACGGAGGCGGTCACGGTGGCGTGAGGGGCGGTTGTGTGGAGGGGTAGGGTGAGCGGTGCGGCGGTGCGGAGGGCGTCGTGGCGGGGCGTTACCCGGGAAGCCGTCGTGCCTCCTCTTCTCGCAGATGCGCTCCATCGCTGAGTTGGCAAAGCCGTAGTTGCTCTGCCCGGCGTTGCCGCGGCCACTGCTCACCGAAGAGAAAACCACGAACCAGTCGAGCTCGGGGCAGTTCGCGCGTGTCACCCTGTGGGAGAGGGAGGGGGGGGTGGGCACACCAGCCGGCCGGTTAACGGAGGGGTGAATCACTCGGCGGGAGTCGTAGCAGCGGAGCGAGCAGGAGGAAGGTTTGCTTTGTTCACGCACAGAGAGGGTTACAGCTTGCTCTACCGCGGGGAGATTTTGAGTTTTGGTGTCGCCCTCGTTTGCGCAACGGGCGTGTGAAGCGCAGCCCCTGTGTGTCAATCCGCTACTGGACGGACGAGGCCCTGTGCGGGGCGTTGGAAGCGCAGAAGTACAGCGCGACAATGGATTCTGCTGCACTGCCCTCCGCTGCCCCGCCAGGTGCGTGTCCCCGCGAGCCCTGCGGCCACCCCGTCCGTGCGCGGTGTTCACGCGCGCACGCGCTGTGGCCGGACCCGGGAGCCGCTCCATCGAGGCTGGGCGCTTTGCGGGTGGTTCGGACGCAGGCCGCTCGGGCACCAAGACAAAGATCCCCCCGTGTAGCCTCAACAGACTGCTGAGACGAGCGCTGTTCGATGGAGGCCCACACGGCACACGTTGAGGGTGGTGTGGCTCGGACCGCGCCCGGCCGCTTCTGTCCCTGACAGTGCTGCGTACTCATTTGAGGCTGAGTTGACCGTGAGGAGACCCAACACCAGTTCGTGAATTAATCGGCGACGTTGGACGCGTGCGGGCATCACACTCTGGGTCACTGGGTTCAGAGGGCGGTGCGCTAACTCACGCGCGCACACAAAGGGCGCACGCGCGCACGTGAAGTTTCCCACCTGTCCAGGTAGATGGTGCCGTGGAACTTGGGCTTGTTCACGTCCTTGAACATGCCGGCGTCCAGGTTCTCCAGCATGCCGTCCTTCAGCACCTGTCGCGCGCCGGGGGCGGGACACGACGACAGCGGCCGTCAAGAGTGGCGGCGTCAATCCGGCTGGTTGCTGCCGCGAGGGTCCGGGCCCCCCCCTCGCCCCCCCCCCCCCCCGGTTCGACGTCCGCGTCATTTACAAAAGCAGAGGCGGAATGCCCGAGGCTCACTGCCGGTCACGTTCCTCCACGGACCGCACGAGGCCTACGACCGCCTCTTGGCGGTACTAATCGGGCCACTGGAGGGGGAATATTGTCGTCCGGGCAACGACAAGAACGCGGGGTTTCTATTTTCTCACGCTCGTGAGAAAAAGGAGTGCGAGCCATCATGATGTTGTTGTTGTTGTCGGACAACGGTCAGGCTCCAGTTAAGCTCTCGTTGCTCCGAAATTTTGATAAAAGCGCGGCGGAGGCAAGGGTCAGTGGGTCGCGTACAGATTCACGAAAGTCCAAACCCCGCCGAGCTGCGACGCGTCCAGGAGCTGCGGTCCAGAACGCGGGCTCGTGAAGCCCTCTCCCCGCCCCGTTCCGTCGCCTCTCTACCCCAACTCGTGAGGCAGAAGAGCCCCTCGCCTGCGCCCACTCACCATGGCGAGGTGGAAGATGCCGCCGATGGGACCCAACGCGGCGGCCTCCTTGACGAGGCCGGCGGCGTCGGCCTCGCTGCTGATGTCGCGCGTCGACACGGTCACGCCGATCCCCATCTCGCGCCACTCGCGCACGCGCCGCGCCTGGTAGCCTGCACACGCCGGCAAAGATCACCCCGGTGGAGCCTTGACACACTGCCGCTGCTGGGACAAGTGCCGTTTGCGAGCGCCCGGTAAGGCCTTCCCTAGACTCAGTTGACCTAGGGGAAGCCCAGGACTTGCTGAGATTTTTGTCACTGATGTGAGCGGCAATTTAACTCGCGCGCACGCACACACAGGCAGTTACGGTTATACAAGGCTTACTGCACACACGAGCACACACATACACGCAACACAAACTCCACGCATGCCACATGCACACACACACATACAAAACTGTGTGCGGAGGGGAACCCTGAAAGGTTGGCGGAACCTCGCGGCGCGGGAGTTCTGTCTGCGTGGGCAGGCCGGCACGCTCACCGTTGCGGATGCCGGAGCGCGAGGTGAGCACGATGTTGCGCGCTCCCCTCTCCACCAGGAACTGCGCCAGCTCCAGGCCGAAGCCTCCCAGGCCGCCCGTGATGACGTACGTTTTGCCCGGCGGGCACATGGAACGAGCGAGCGCCGGCACGGCCGGCAGCGGTGCCGGTGAGGCGCCCTTGAGCTCCTCCGGGAGAACCTGGCAGGTCGGGGGGTAAGTCGTCAGGAAGTGAGGTTCACGGGTTGGGTCGGTCAAACCCAGCCGACGAGTAAACGGGAACCAAACCGAACGAGACGGTATGGGACGGTTGTGATGCGACAATCCATCTGGCACCTGCACACGCGGCGATTCCATCGCGGGCGCCCTCTCGGGCTGCCACTCCATCATTAGCAACGCTTTTTGTGTTTAGTTTGTTGCCTTTCCCCCGCACCGCTGATTAGTACAGTCGGCTACGTACGGTACAAAAGAGTTCAACGTACGTACATTAGCCTCCACCGGCGCTAATCACCACCCGAGCGAGCTCGGGCAAGGGGGCACGTCGTCGCGAGAAGCGACGAGAGGCCCGGCGGTGGAGACTCCTGACCGAGCGGCAGCCAAAGGAGGACGGCACGCGCAGGAGACGGAGCGATGAAATCGGCTTCGCGCGCAGCGGGCGGGCCGTCGCGAGACCGCGAGAAGCGGCGACGGCGCTCGGGGTGGGGGGACGGGGGGGGAAAAGGCCTCCAGTCTGGCGGCGATTGTCCCGCAGGCGGACCTCACCTGCACGACCACCTTGCCGATGTGCTTGCCCTGCGCCATGAAGCGGAAGGCGTCCTCCACTTGCTGGCGCAGGAACACGGTGGTGCGCAGCGGCTTGACGGTGCCGCGTGCGATCCCGTCGCGCAGCAGTGCCGCCACCTCCTCCCACTCGCGGTTGCCCTCCTCGAAGAGCGCGTCCAGCAGGATGCCGTGGAACGCCACGTTCTTCAGGAACAGTGCCATGCCTGCTCCGCCGGTGTGTGGGCGGTGGTGGTGGGGGGAGGGCGACGGCACGGGGGGAGATAAAGCGGGCCGGGGGTTAGAGGTCGTCCCGCGACACTTCGCTTAATCCGTCCGAATGTAAGCGAGCGAGCGAGCGAGCGAGCATGGGCGAGTCGCACTTAGGTGGTGTCGACTGGGCAGCGGCGGTAGTCATCGTCGCGCTCATCTCCCGTCGATAATTCCGTCAACAAAACGAACGCCGCGCGGAGCCGCGAGACCGCGAGTGAGGCGGGCACCGGCGCACCGAGCGGGGAGTTGTTGGAGAGGTCGTATTTGCCGATCTCCAGGAAGCGCCCGTGCCGCGCGAGGCAGCGCAGGCTAGCCTGCAGCTTCTCCTCAGCCAGGGAGTTGAGCACGAGGTCCACTCCTGTCACTGCGCCACACACGCACGCACGTTTAATGGCGAACATCCATTGGGAACACGCACGCATAGGCACACGTACAGCGTACACACCGGCACTGGACACGCATAAACGTACGGGTGCGCAGACACAACAGTTGCAAGCAGAGGGATGGTGACATTGACTCTGTTGGTGCTGCAGATAGATATTGGTGTTTGCGTTGATGGTTCTGCTAGCTGCTGCTTATGGCTGTGTTGGTGATGTTGGCACAGTCGTTGGCACAGTAGGGAGCGCAGATTGTGCTTCTGCCAGCCATGTCAATCAGTCAAGCCACAGCACTAGAGTCTGTCCCGTGACCTCCAGCAAGCCTTCCACACTTCAAGTGGCCTCAAAGTGCACCTAGCCTGGCACAAACACTGTGGTGACATAACCGCCACTTATTGGTGGTGTTGGTGGTAGTGGTGGTGTTGGTGTTGGTTGTGGTGTGGACGTTACCTTTGCCATTGGTTGCCTTGAGGACGTGCTGCTCGAACGTGGTGTCGCGGGAGTTTGCGAAGGCCTCGTTCTTCAGCTGGGGGAAGGTTTTCTGCAGGTAGGCGCGCTTCTCCGCCGAGCCTTTGCACGCACACACACAACACACACACACGACACACACACAACACACACACACACGACACACACAACACACACACACACACACAACACACACACACACACAACACACACAACACACACACACACACAACACACACAACACACACAACACACACACACAACACACACAACACACACAACACACGCGACACGCGTCCAGACCAGTTCACCGATTCTGTCGTCTGTAATGCACCGCAGTGGTCCGGTGGCAATCACCACGGGGGCAGCTCCTTCCACTTCATACGGCAGTGTTCTCCCGTTTCACATTTTACGTGTTTCACATGTGTTTTTAATATAATAATGCTTTATCATTGCCCCATCTGCCCATGTGACCTGGCTGTTGAATCTACCCTTCAGAGTTCAGTCCAAGCTCTCTCTCTCTCTTTTCCCACTCGTTGGTGCAGATTCTAGACGGGCGTTCTCAGTCCGGCTTCATTGCACCTGCTGGACAGCTCGCCCTGCTTAAGTTTAATGAACGTGACTGACAGCGCCGGCTGGCCCTGAGAGATTCCCACCGACGCAACATCACGCCACTAGTCACTGCTCGGGTGGGCCCTGACCGACGAAGCTCCCAGGCTGCGTCGTGCCCCTACTGGACATCTGAAACTTATAGTACCCCGGCTCTCGCATAATGTCCGTGAAGTAGTCATTTTTAGTCTGTTGATGGTCGGCGATGTGGCAATCGACTCATCTCGATGAGCTGCACACGATGCACCACCACGGTGCGTACGAGTGGTCAGGGTTTCAGCGTAATCGTCCTCGCCGCGTTTCGACATCGCGGAGTAGCACCACCGATTTCGTATTGACTGGTACCCCAGTCGCGGAGTTAAGTGCACCCCTGGAAAAATTTGTGAAATTAAAATATATAATTGCCTCGGCCATTTTGTATTATTTTGTACCCCGGGGATTGCCATAAGGATCATCTGTGAAAAAGAGCTTTATAGCTCCTGCAGTGTAACTAAACATTCGGATTCTAAAAAAATAAAACATTCTGTTTGCTCGAGCGCCAGCTAGCGATGCGGGCGGGTGAGCTGGAGCGCGGGCGGGCGGGCGAACCAACGGGCGAGTGAGCGAGCGAGCCGGCCTCACCGACGGTGGTGTAGACGGTGCAGCCCATGCTGAGCGCGATGGCGATGGCCGCCTGGCCGACGCCCCCGGAGCCCGAGTGGATGAGCACGCTCTCCCCGCGCCGCATGCGCCCGCGCACCAGCAGCGCATAGATCGCCGTGGCGTACACCACCGGCACGGACGAGGCCTGCTCCAGGCTCCTGCGACGCGAGCGCGGGTGGGTGGGTGGAGGTGCGGGAGGGTGGTTAGAGGCAGCGTCGGCTTCACGGCAGCTAAATGTTCCCGCGTCCACAATTGGCAACGTTTAACCACGGCCGACTCGCGATTTCCCTTGGGGAGATCGTCCGGGTGGAGGATTAACCGCGCTGATGAAATAAATGCAAAAATTTATTTACGTGCAGTTACCAAGAAACAAAGATCCCCCGTATAGCCTTAACAGACTGTTGGGGCAAGTGGTGTTAGCGAGTAGCACCTGTGAAGCCCGGCGCGGCACACGAGGGGGTGCGTGGCCGGCACCACGCCCGGCCGCGTTTGTCTCACACAAACACACACACAAACACACTTCCACACGCATGCTTGCGTACGCACCAGGTCTTGGGCACGTCCCAGAGGAAGCGCTTGTCGGCATCCACCACGGTGGCCAGGCCTCGCGCAGGCAGCAACCCCATCACCCGCTTGCCCTGGGGGTCGCGACCCGAGAACTCCATACCCAGCATGCAGTGCTGCAGGGAGAGGTCACCTGGGCACAGCGAGGGGTGGGTGGGTGGCGGGTGGGGAGGAGCGACGATGTCAAGTGACGGAACAGGCGAGTTGTCCGGGCCGTGAGCGCTCGCGTAGTGCCCCTGGGTGACGGCCTCCCCCGCGGCGTGCGGGACGCGGAGATGAGAGCGGTGGGATCGGCTCGCGTGCGCAAGCGACGGCGTGTGGAGGAATTCACCCAGCAGTGGATAGGTCACGTCATCGGGATTGTTTGAGCGTGCTTCACCGCACCGATCATTGCGGGTTTGGTGAAGGTGGGGGGGCATCAGCAGCAATGGGGTTTCGCCCAGCGCGCAGCCCCTCCATCCCCCACGACAACGTGTTCGTGCACGGTGGGTGCCCACGCGAGCACTGCGCAGGCTTAACCACATGGCTTAGCCGATGGGTCCGGGCGCGCACTGCGGGTGATCCGATGACAGGAACTCCCCATCAACGTTCGAGGGAATGTATCGACCCGCAACGCAGCCGCGACGCGTCGATTCAAACAGATCGGGCAAATGCCTACCCACGCCCAAGTCGCTGCCGGCGCCGGCCAAGCGCCGGCGCGCTCCACCTCTCCTGCCGTAGCCAGACGCCGGCACGCTCCACCTCGCGCGGTACAGCGCGGCGCTCTCTCACCGGGGATGGCGTCGGGCGGCAGCTTGCCGGTGGCCAGCATGATGTCGCGGAAGTTGAGCGAGGCGTAGTAGACGCGGCACAGCTGCACCATGCTGGAGCTGCTGCTGCGGAAGTGGCGCAGCGGCGACGCGATCCAGGCGAGCGAGGAGAGGTCCCCGCGGGTCAGCACGTTCACGTACGCGTACTCCGTCGCCACCGAGGCCCCGCTGGCGCCGCCTGCGACGACACGAACCGCACGCAAGAGCCGCCGACGTCAGGCGGCACGCCCGGGCATAGAGGAAGCCCCCGAACGTCAGACGAGCACGCGACCGAATGTTTTAGACGTATGATCCGGAACGCTTGGCTAGCACACGATCGACTCGTGCAATGTACTCCGGACCAGCTCGGACCTCGTAAGCATAGTCTGGTTTGTTAAACAAATATTACCAGAGTCGGTTCTGGGTTTAGAGGGGGGGGCGAGTGATGGGGGGGGTGGTTACCGGCTGGAATCAGCTGGTGCCGGAAGGAGCCCCAGGCGCCGTCGCGCCACACGTTCATCACCAAGTCCTTCTGGGTGACCGCTGCCGGGATGGAGGACGAGGGCAGACTCGGCGATTTAGAGCCGGCCTCCAGGTTGCTGACGAACAGAGACCTGCGAGAGAGAGAGAGGAGAGAGGCGCGACCGTCACGCTGGTGCCACGTACCCATGACCGCTGGGAAGCTGCTGCCACTACGCAGGTTATTCGCGGTTGGGCTGTACAGCTCTCCGACGTGTTTTCGGATTGTACCGCACGCTGTTCGACACGATGTCTGACACGATGTCTGACATTTTGGCACGGACTGCACGCGCACACACACACACCTGATGCGCTGGCCGCCGGGTTCTTGGCGCAGGCAGTTCACCATCCCCACGATGCCAGAGTGAGCGCAGGCAGTGGACGTGAGGAACACGGGCACCTCCGACTCCGCCAGCAGCTCGTCCTGCTCCCAGCGCAGCCCGCACACACACACGCAGATACACGCAGATACACGCACACACACACACGCAGATACACGCAGATACACGCACACGCAGACACACACGTGTCAGCGCTCGGCTAACTACGTCCACCGTCTAGTGTTCAGTAGTTTCGCAGGCGTCCATGCCAGAGTTCTTCACTGAAAATCAAGTCGGCGTGGGCTGGGGGGCCACGTACAGATGTCAGGGCCGCCAAGGTCACGGGGCAGGGGTGCAAGAGGCACGAACTTTCCCCATGCCTCACACAAAAGAGGGCCCCGCAGAGAGGACCTATTTTGTCATCACTAATTAATAAGCGGGCCGCGATGCAGCATCCTACGCTGGGCCTCCATCCCCGGGCCTCCAGGATCCTGACAAGACGTCGTGACGTCACGACGAACGTAGGTGCGATCGCTTCCCTGTATGTCCCGTCTGCAGGTCTCCCTCTCTCGCTTACCTCGCTGCTATCTACACCACCAATCTCTGTCTACGTCTCAGCGTGCCATGTCCCTCTACGGACCGAGTTCCAATGGGCCCCTGCTCAAATTCAAACAACGCCTTGGCTCTGACCAGGTAGATCGCCACGCTGCCCACTTTTCTGCATCGCAGTCCTGCGGCAGAGCTCGAGGGTTAAAATCCTGGCCGGCGGTTGACTCGGCCTGCCATCACAACCGCGGTCTGTAAAACGACCACCGCTTTGTGGTGGAAGTCAACAGTGGATGTTCTACGCTCAGACCGCGCGCCCGTCACGGGAACGTGTGCGCGCCGGCGCCACGGCGTGCGTGATTGAGCCCGCCGCGGCGCGTCGCACCTTCAGCTGCTCCACCCATCCGTAGGTGAGGTCGTCCACGGACAGCGCCAGCGCCGCTGCTGCCCCCTTCCCGGCCGATGTCTTGCGGGCGAGGAAGATGGCCGAGCCGAAGAAGGAGGTCTTCTTGGAAACGAGGGTCAGGCTCGCGGCCTTCAGCGCTGCCTCCCACTCCGCCTGCGGACCGGCGTGGTGGTGAAGTACAGTCAAGGGCGCCACGGAGGCGAGATGCTAACTGCCTCGCCTGGTATACAGGAGGCCGTGGGTTCGATCCCAATATATTTGAAGTGGATTTTACTCTGGGTCCTCCGGTTTTCCCCTCCACATTTAGAATCGACATCACAAATTTATTAGACTATTTGGCTGCTATAAATGTCCACGGGAAAAGCCGCTTGATTGGGCTATCATTTGTGATAGCCAAGTCGCTTCTGAGTAAAGAGCTATGTAGCTCAGTGGGCCTTAGCTGATTAAATTTAAAAAAACGAGTTTATAGTTTAAGCGAAGGGTTTGAAATGCTTCCTGCTCGTCGAGGCGGAGAGAGATTAGCAGCTCGAGCCCAGCGACCGCCCCGGTGAATACTGCAGGCGCATTACACCCAAACGTACGCGCCATTTGCTTCGCGGCGGACGTTAACGACCCCCGCGCCATCATCAAGAGTAGGCCATGCGTGCGGGGCAACGCCGGGCAGCAACCGTGCGTCCACCTTCAAGCGACCCGCACCTACGACTGGCACGATCGGCTAAAGTTCAACGCACGTGCGTACGTACAGCCGGAACCGGGCGACACCGGCAGCCCCGCCCCGCACGCTCACCCGCGTAAGCGTCGTGCACTGGTCGGGGATGCGCCCCGTGAGCAGCCCCACGGCGTCGCCGAGCGGCGCTCCGGCCAAGACGGCGTGCAGCAGCAGGAAGCCGCCCTCCTTGAGCGCGCCGGCCATGTTGCCGAGCGAATCGGAGGCGGCGGCGCCGAGCGAGCGACCGGCCAGGTCGCAGACCAGCAGGTCGGCGGCGGGCGCGGGCGAGCCGGACTGCGCCGGGTCCCACTGCGCCGTCGTCACCCCCATCTCGTCCAGCTGTTCCTTGGAGGCGGCGAGGGCTTCGGGGGCGGCGTCCGTGGCGACGTAGTCGAGCTCCACCATGGGGTGCGTGTTGAGCAGCGGCACGACGCGTGCATACAGCTTGCCCTCGCCCGACAGCACCTGCGCGGGGAAGCGGACATCGCGGCGGTGACGACGACGACAAATCGACGTGTAGCGCGTTTGGTATTCGCGCCGTTCCGACAGGACCAAGGGCTGTCGCGGGTTAGCTGTGCGTCGCAGATGGGCACAGTCTGCCGGTAGGAAGGCGATTTTGCGATAATTATTTTTTGGCCAATTTAGCAATTTACAGGATAATTTCAAATGAGTGGTACATTTGTATGGTGACCCTAGCACACCGCTGGGACCAGTCATCGGCAAGTCCAATCAGCTCCAGATCATCCCGCACCACATCAGCCTCATATGCAAGAGTGACCTGGGGCAGTCGACCGCCAGTAGGGAGCAATGATTGCTACTGTGCGTGTTTAATCCCAATCGAGTAATTTAGCAGTGTCATTTTCGAATTTGCCACTTTTTTACGATCACACCACCACGTGAATGATGTCAGGGGATCTTTAACGCCCACTGTGAGTGATGGCAGGGAACATTATTCTGGCTATTATATTCGCAGCTCAATTCCAACCCTGAACCTCTGCAACAAGTGGCGAGCACGCTGACCACCGGGCCTCATCACCGCCCAAACCGGCACAGTCCACGTGGCACACCCACCCACCCACCCAACCCACTCACCCACCCAACCCACCCAACCCACTCACCCACCCAACCCACCCAACCCACCCACCCACACACCCACCCACCCACCCAACCCACCCAACCCACCCACCCACGCAACCCACCCAACCCACCCACCCACGCAACCCACCCAACCCACCCAACCCACTCACTCACCCACCCCACCCAACCCACCCACCTACGCAACCCACCCAACCCACCCAACCCACCCAACCCATCCACCCAACCCACCCAACCCACCCAACCCAACCCACCCACCCCACCCAACCCACCCAACCCACCTCGGTGATCTTCAGCCTCTTGCTGGTGGAGTTCTCCAGTACAACGTCCAGGCAGTTCTTGAGCACGGGGCCGTCGAGCAGCGCGGAGAGCAGCGCGTCGTGCGAGAGCCGCCCCCGCTCGCGCGCCATGGTGGCCGTGACCTCGCCCAGGAAGCTGCCGTTGTGCGAGAGGTCGCGCACGGTGCGCAGCACCGACAGCAGGCCCCGCTCCGACTCCTTCTCCGCGTCGAGCGGCGGCACCTCCGCGTCCGCGCCCGAGCCGATGACCGCGTCGTCAAGGCCGGACACGGGGAACTTGATGCCGTGGCTGCGGAACTTGGCGATGACCTCCCGGAGGCACTCTGGGGGGTGCGAGCGGAAAGGCGGGGGGTGGCAAGGGGGGGGGGTGGAGAGAAGCTTTTATGCTGTGTAGCGGACGGCCACTAGCCACGCCAGCCAGCCCGAGCTTGCTGCCGTGTGGAAATGTGGTTACGTGGTTAATGGCAAGAGCCGATTATCCGCTTGGAACCTCATATGCCAGTAGCAAAATATGATAATTTTTACCCTTTTATCTGGCAACAAAGCTGACACCTTTTGGCCTGCGTGGCGTGCAGCTCCAACACCGTGTGAGACTAGGCTCTAAAGAAAGCTGTCTCGGGTGTGGACCAATCAATTTCAAGGACAGTGCATACATTATCAGAGTTGTGTTTTTTGTTTGCATTCCGACTGCAGGTATTGTGGTCAATGCAAACATGACTCCTTGTAAAAAAGGTGTCAGTTTTGTTGCCAGATAAAACGGTAAAAAAACTCGAAAGCTCCATAATTAAGATTATTATCAGCCGATTATCCGTTTGACTGGTCGACCGATGTGCGAGGCTTGGTGATGTCATCATTATCGGTCGCATCACGGCGGGTGTGGCTTCCGGGAGGGGAGGTTGGATGTCAATTAGAATTTGTCGTCAGTAATCGACAAATTGTTCCGGCTCTCTTCCTAGATTTGAAGCTTTCGTGACTGCAAGGATTCATACTCTTAGTTTTTTCGGTAAAGTCACGTAGGTAAAAAATGAAATTAAAATTAATTTAAAAAAATTAATAAAAAATATTATTTTATTTAATTTTTTATTAATTTTTATTAAAATTTTTACCTACGTGACTTTACCGAAAAAAATAAGAGTATGTTCCGGCTCTGGCAATGGCGCTCATGGAGCTAACACAGCAGCGTTTGTATCCAGGCGCTAACGGACGGGTGACGGTGGTGGGGCGGCGGCTCTCACGACGGACCCCGCGAATCGGGCTCACCAGTGCAGCTGCGCTGGTAGGCGTGCAGCGAGGCGTGGCGCCCGGCGTCGGCGAGCAGGTCCTGCTGGTCGTAGGGCACGAAGTGGAACTCCTCCAGCACTGGCGGTGCCTGCTGCTGCTGGCGCCGTGGGGCCTGCGTGGCGTGCAGCCCCGAGATCTCCACGCCGCCGGCCACTGTCCGGTCCAGCACACGGTCCACCGACACCTCCACCGCTGTCGGGACAGAGGTGCAGTGTATTTGTACACAGACTTTTTAAAGTGTTTTTGTTCACCCCCTCGTGTGCTGTGCCGGTCTTCATAGGTGCTCGCTAACGGCATTTTCCCCAACAGCCTGTGTAGCTCACTCGGGGCGATCTTTGTCCTCGTTCATGTGTCCCATTTTTACATGCATACGTGCGTGCCTGCATATCCCCGTGTGTGTACGTGATCACGTGTCCAGGTCTGCATGCACGCCCATATAAGCACTTCAGTCGGTTGTTCATTGAGCTAAGAAGCTCGTTGTGGCTCAGCAGTCCGGTCAAGGCTACCCGGGGGACCTTTGTCTTTGTGCCCATACGTGCGCGCGTGCGCGTACCCGTGCGTTCGTCCTCGCCCTGCGCGGCGCGTGCCGCGTGCGCCTCGGGGTCGATGAAGACGGAGCGCACGCGCGTGGGCAAGCGCAGGCTGCGGCCCTGCAGGCCCAGCACCTGCATCTGCAGCATCGCGTCCAGGAACGGCACCCAGTTGCCGTCCCACGCCAGCCGTCCCTCCGAGCCTGGGTGGAGGGGGGGAGAGGGCGCGGCGGGTCAGAGGCGGGAGATAATGCAGCCTCCGCGCGGCAACGGCGAGGAGACACGAAGAGAGAGCGAGGAGGGGAGGAGGATGCGGTGAAGCTTTGCGGAGGGGCGTGCCGTGCATGGAGAGCAGACGCCATGGTGGTGCTGGGAAGCTTGTGGGCCCCACGGGGCCGGCACGGTCCACGACTTCACTTAATTGGGACCGCGGCCGCAGGAGGCAATCCATTCGAAACAGCTAAATATATATAAAAGCAATACATATTTATACGGCCATCACTGTAATCGGTTATGAGAGGGGATAATTTTCTTCGTGGCTTAACAATTTTTGCGCCACGTGCAGTGACTTGTATTTCAGGGGCCCCTTGTAGTGAAAGATGTGAAGCAGGTGTGTGTGTGTGTGCTCTTCAATGCGTGGCCCACCATCGGCATTTGAAAGTCGTATTCGGTGATGCTATGGGATCGTGGTGCTATGAGAAGAGTAATCATGCGGAGAGGCTACGGTTAGGTGTAGCCATGAGGTGGAGGCTACGTGGGGTGGTGACGAAGCTATGGGGCGGCGAGGCTACGTCCCGCGTTAAGCGACGCCACGTGAGAGGCGACGCCGTGTAACCGACGACGACGACGACGAGGCTCTCGGCATTGCAGCGCTGCCGTCCCCACCACCGCCTCCCTGCGCCGCGAGCCTCACCGCTGTTGTTGGCCTGCAGGATGCCCTGGAAGGTGGGCCCATAGTCGTACCCCCGCAGCCTCAGCTCCTTGTACACCTCGCTGGCCGACAGCGGCAGCTCCGATTCCGGCTTGGCGTCCGGCACGGCCGCGATGCGGCTCCGCAGGTTCTCCAGCACCGTGTCTTCCGGAATGTACACCTTGCCTGGGGGTGGGGGGGGGCGGGTGGGGTCACGTTTTGAGCAGGAATCCGCTTCGGCTCCGTTGAGTTGGAACCAGACGACAGTTCCCCGTTGGCGAATGAGTGAAAGAATGGATGGATGAGCGGATGGATGAGCGGATGGATGAGCGGATGGTTGAGCGGATGACTCCGTACCGCTCACAGCCAGGTTTTCGCCCTCGGACACCTCGAACCGGTTTGAGGACGGCATGAGGCGGACTTCCAGCTGCACGGAGCCTGCACGGGGTCGGACATACACACACGGGTGCACGCATGCACACAGACACACTCATTAATGGACTTGACCAAACATCAGACTCGGTAGAGCATTTCTGGGAAAGTAATGGGAATCGCTCATATTGCACACACTTGTGCTTCGTCCCTCGACGGATCCCGGTTTGTTGTAGTGTAGCGCCGTACCGGTGGCGGCCCTGGGGTGCGATCAATGGGCGGAGTGCTCTGGTGGCGGGTTACGTGTGCACGTTGAACTTCTCTCGCACCGTACATAGCCAACCGTGCTCATCGGAGGCGTGGAACGGCTGCGTTAGGAGAGTTGGCACCGACGAAGGTTCTGCATCTCCTCCGATTGGCCGAAATTCGGACACGCCCACCCAGCGCTCGGCGCGGCTGCCCCTTCGAGACCGTCGGCTCGCGTTCACGACAACGCGCTCCGGGGCTGCCGACGGGTCGTTCGATTGAAGGGCGCTCTCTCTGTAGCGCTCTCCCCACTGAACGCAGCACCCCTGGTGTGATGAGGGAGGGGCACACGCTCACCAGCTTTGGGCAGGATAGTAGCGCGGTGGATGGTGACGTCTTCGAACACGACGGGCAGCGTCTCGGAGGAGAGCCCCGCCTGGCGCAGCAGCGCTCGCCACGCCAGCACCATGTAGCCCGTGGCAGGGTACAACACGCGCCCGTCGATGCAGTGGCCCAGCAGGTAGCTGTCTGGGGACTCGGGGCTCGTGTCTGCGGGGAGCGGCGGGGGGTGGGGGGAGACGCGCGGCGGCAACACGAGTCACGGGGACGCCGAGGCGAGGTGAGAAAAACCGTCGCTGTTATTCTTATCGGTGTCCGTCTCGCGCTCCGCGGTGAGACACGATTGCGGCACCGGGTGGAACGGCGACGGCTTGCGGACACGCTCGTCCGGCAGCAGATTGATCCCGGCTACTGCCGATGATGTGCGTGGACGAGTGATTGTGTTGGAACGAAGTGAAGTGTTGCGTCGCAGGGGCGAGAGAGGTGGCGACGGATGGGGAGGCCTTAATCCAGTAGCGGATAGATCACGGTTGACGATGCTGCTGATGATGCTGATGAGTGAGATAGTCGCTTCACAGGACAGGAGTGGATAATCCATGGCTGATGATGCAGCAATCACGTGATGATGGTGCTGATGATTATGATGGTGACGACGATGACAATTGTGGTGCAGGCGATGACGATGGCGGTGCAGGCGATGACGACGATGATTTACGCGAGCGTCTCACCGATTTTTTTTTTTTGCGACATAGAATTGTAATGTATTACTTACTGTTAGAAGCTCAGCTTATTCGAGAGTATATTTAGTATACTGATGATACTATGTAGTTTATACTTTAGTTTTTTACGTGGTTGTTTAGTTACTGCAGCTACATACTATTAACATTCCTTCCCTTTATTAATGCTACCCCTATCACCTCCCTTTGATGCTGCTAATCCTGCATAATGCACGGGCATAATATGACTTTGAAACCCCCCGCCCACCTCCTACGCATTTCACAAGTAGTACTAATCACATACCTGCATTTGCCATAAATATGCTAAATTCCTCTTGATATGCAAATTCTTTTGTCAAGGCGCCCTTCCCCCCTTCCAACCCAGCTTTAATATACGCTCCAAGCGTGGTGGTGTTTCATTCAGACGCTGTCTCCCCGACAGACCTGGTCTTCACCTGAGGACGGCCGCTTGCGTTGTGGCCGAAACGTCGTGAGAATTATTTAATTATGTTTAATATTTTATTATTTTATTACTTCCCTTCTACGTGACTTTACCGAAAGAACCAAGAAGACGTCTCACCGATGTTGAAGACGACGGCACCGCCGCCTCCGCCGGAGCCCGAGGGGAAGTCCTCGGCGCGCGGCACGTCCCACGTCTGTGAGTGGTCCCACACGACATGCGGTGAGATGAGCGGCGTCCCGGCCTGCACCGGGAACTGGGTCCCCTCTTGCTGGTACAGCTTGTTGGGGTCAGGGTTCACCCTGGTGCGGGGAACATCGGTGCGCCACAGTTGCGAGATGTTAACTACCTCGCCTGATATAAAGGAGGTCGGGGGTGCATTTGGAGATTGTGTGCTTCTCTCCCCGTGATCGTGTGGATATTTCTACGGGGCCTCCGGTTTTTCCCTCCATTTAGAATCATGCGTTTTAGAGTATTTGGCTGCTATAAATTTCCACGTCGTAAGCCACTTCGTTGAGCTATCATTTGTGGCCAGGTCGCTTCTGAAAAAGAGCTGCATAGCTCAGTGAGCCTTACCTCGTTAAATAAATAATCGTTTTTTTGTTTAGTGTAACATGCCCGCGCGGAAACATTCCAGATATTTTGGATTGTTCACGTGACGTAAGCGTCCAGCGAGTCCATGCGCTAAGGAAACCGGTGTCGCGTGACGACACGCGTGTGTGTGAGGGTCAGCGTGTACGTGTGCGTGTGTGTAAGGGTCGGCGTGTGTGTGTGTGTGTGTAGAGAGAGCCGTACCCGCTGATGTAGAGCTTCCCCACACTGTTGAGGAAGAAGCGAAGGTTGTCCTTCTGGTCGCGCTTCATCAGGGGAATGAACGAACACGTGGGCTTCAGGCTGCGCTTCAAGATCGCCTGGGGAGGGAGATGGCGCATGGCACGGCACGCATGTCACATGAGTGGCATGGCACACACACACTGACCCTTACACACACACTGACACTCACACACACACAGCGACCCTCACACACACACTGACACACTGACACTCACACCCCGACCCTCACACACACACTGACCCTTACACACACTGACACACTCACACACACCCCGACCCTCACATACACACTGACCCTTACACACACACTGACACTCACATACACATGCCGACCCTCACACAAAGACCCCCCGTATAGCCTTAACAGACTTTAGGGGCAAGTGCTGTTAGCGAGCACCTATGAAGGCCGGAACGGTACACGAGGGGGTGGGATGGCCAGCACCACGCCCTGACCGCCTTTGTCTCCCCAGTGGCGATGTTTACACACCGCACCAGGTACTCATTTGAGGCTGAGTCGACCTAGGGGAGGCCCAGGACCGGTTCAGATAATCGTCACTGGTGTTGGCCATGAGCGGGAATCGAACCCGGGTCGCCGAGTTCATAACGCAGCGCGCTAACCGCTGCACTACCGCTCCACGACCCTCACACACACGCTGACCCTCACATACACACATACACACACACACAAAACACGCACACCCTCACGCACCTGCAGCAGGGCGTGCGGTGCGATCTCGATGACGGCGGCGTCGACCGGCACGTGCTGCAGCGCCTCCTGGAAGAGCACGGGGCTCACGAGGTTGTTGACGTGGTACTCGGCTGACGAGTACGTCGCCAGAGGGCTGCCCCAGCTCTCCTCGCCGATGGACGTGCTGATCCAGCGCGCCGAGCGCTCGCGCGGCTGCTTGATCACCTGCGGGCCCGGCGGCACGGCGGACGCGCAATTGAGCCGGTGGGGTGGCGAGCCGGTGAGCCGGCGAGGGGGTGGTGAGGCGGTGAAGCAGTGGGCCGATTAGACGCCGAGTGTGGGGAGCGACACTGCGGCGTAGCGGTGGCGCGATCAGCGCTCGTTGCAGAGGTCCACGGCTCGAAACCAGTGGCCGCCCTGGTTAATACTGCGGGAGTATTAACCATAGAACACTACGCGCCGTCCGATTCACTCACAGTGGACTGGTAAAGATCCCGCGATGCCGGCGTCATGGTTCCAAGCTTTTGCCAATTTTTAAAATATTTACTCGCAAATGACTCAAGTGGGATCTACACAGCAATCGTCGCCCCCCCCCTCCCCCCCGCTACTACTTGGCAGGACCCTCCTGAGGCCTTCACGGATGAACGTAACGAGGAGAATAACGACAACGGCGGCGTCGGCATGACGAGGGGCTGCGACGAGGTGAGAGCGGCGCGCGGGTTACCTTTTGCAGGGCGGCGAGCAGCACGGGTGCGATGGAGGCCATGTAGTGAGAGTGGAAGGCCACGCCAGCCGTGCGCACCTCCTTGGCGAAGATCTCCTTCGCCTGCAGCTGCTTCACAAACTCGGCCACCGCGTCCTAGGGGGGTGTGGGCGGGGGGGGGGGAGGGCGGCACAACGAGCCAGGCAAAGACAAAGGTTCCTCGTGTAGCCTAAACAGAACGTTTGGGGGGCAAGTGCCGGGAGCGAGTAGCGCTTGTGAAGGCCGGCAAGGCGCGCCAAGGGGGTGGTTTGGTCAACACCGCGCCCGGCCACCTTTGTCTCCCCGGTACTGATGATTTACTACTCACACCGCACCGGGTACTCATTTAAGGCTGAGTCGTCCTAGGGGGTAGCCCACAATGGGTTGAAACTTTCGCCACTGTTAATGGTCGTGAGCGAGAATCGAACTTGTGTCGCAGGGTTCACACCGCGGTACGCTAACTACTGCACACGTGTGCTCTCTGTGCATGTGTAATCAGTGTATAGGTGCTACTCGCTAACAGCACTTGCTCCAACATTCTGTTGAGGCTAAACGGGGGATCTCTGTCTTTTGTGTGTGTAAGTACAAGTGTGAGCGTTCTCGCGTGTGTGTGTTTATCAGCGTGTGTGTGTTTATCAGTGTATGTGTGTGTATATCAGCGTGAAGGTGCGCGTGTGTGCGTGTCTCTTTTGTGCACACCGCACCTTGGGGCCGGAGATGGTGACGGTATCCTCGGAGTTGTGGCACGCTGGCACCACGCCGGGCGGACACTGCTTCTTGCACTCGGCCCAAGTGAGGCCTGGGGGCAATGGCACAGAGGCAGCCATGCTCACTCACTACTCCCTCTCGCTCAACTGCTCACTCGTTCGCTTGCTCACACACACTCGCTCACTCACTCGCTCACTACACACTCGTTCACTCACTCGCACACGCTCGTTCACTCACTCGCTCACTACACACTCGTTCGCTTGCTTGCTCGCTCACACACACTCGCTCACTCACTCGCTCACGACACACTCGTTTGCTCGCTCACACACACTCGTTCACTCACTCGCTCACACACGCTCGCTCACTACTCCCTCGCTCAACTGCTCACTCGTTCGCTCACTCACTCACTCACTACATACTCTTTCGCTCGCTCACTCGCTCACACACGCTCGCTCACTCACTCGCTCACTACACACTCGTTCGCTCGCTCACACACGCTCGCTCACTCACTCGCTCACTACACACTCGCGCGCTCGCTCACTACACACTCGTTCTCTAATCTGCTCACTCACTCCCTCTCTTATCTTCCATTAATTTACCGCTTGTTGTTCAACACGAGACCTTCCTAACGCAGCTTCACATGTGGAGTCGTCGAACATTACACGGTACGACCAAAAAATAACCGCGACAACCCACGCAGTGGCGTTTTATAGGGCGGTTGCACAAATGTGATTAGTTTAAGGCACTTTTGCTCATTTGGCGCACATCCCATGTGAGCGAGCGAGCGAGCGATTGTGCGATGCACGCGACTGTACGAGCCTGCCTCACGAGAACGCACGAGCGTGCACGTAGCCGTGTACGTGAGCGTGTGCGCACCAGCAATCGCACGAGCTTGTGTGCGCGTGCGATGATGATGCGAGCGCGTCTCTCACCGACGGCCGCCATGGCGCCCGCGGGGAGCTTGGCCTCCTTGATGCAGCGGCCGCGCCAGTACGCCGCCTGCACGACCTCGTGCCGCGACAGCGAGCCGTCCGCGTAGCCGCACGCCAGCTCGCCCACCGAGTGGCCCACGATGCCGTCCGGGCGCAGACCCATCTCCGCCAGCATGTCGATCTGCGCGATCTGCACGGCGCACAGAGGGCGGCAGCAATGCACGTGATGTCAGCCGCTTTTAAGAACACGCCACCGGGGTAAGGCCGCCGGGCCCAGATGACTGGGGGGCGAGGCGGCCGGGGGGAAGCGGCCGGGGCGGCTTGGAGGTCAGAGCTCTGAGTCTGCACCGCTGAGAAATCGTGGATTTGAATCCAGGGGAAGCCCTCATCTAGCAGAGGATAGATCATGGCTGTTGATGATTTTATTTTGGCGCGGTGAAACAGGCCCTTGCCTGTTTGCTTACTGTTGTTTGACCGTATTCTCCGGATTCGGTGACTTTATCCCACCGTTGGGGGTGCGTCTAGTAATCAAATAGCTGTGTGCGTGCGCACGCGCGTGTGACCAGATGAGTACAACTGCAATGATAAATCACGGGGTGCGTCCAACTTTCCGTTGGGTCTTCTTCTAACACGGAGGTCGCGGCATCTGGTATTTGGGGCAGCGAGCGAGCGGCGGAGCCGCAGGCCGGCGGGCCTTGCCTGAATGGCGGCGAGTCCCACGAAGGAGTTGACCGTGTCCTCGAAGGTGGAATTGTCGGCGTGGGTGAGGAGCCGCACGAGGTCCAGCCCCGTGTCGGACAGCGCGCTCGCCGTGCGCTCCACCGACGCGCGGAACGGACCCAGCGACATCAGGTCCTTGCCCATGCCCGGCCACTGCGTGCCCATGCCTGCGCGCACTGCACGGGTGCAACGTGAAGCCTCAACAGACTGTTGGGGCAAACGCTGTTAGCCAGTAGCACCGATGCAGGCCGGCACGTCACACGAGGCAGTGGGTTGCCGAAACCACGCCCGGCCGCTTTTGTCTCCCCAGTGGCGATGTTTACACGTTGCACTAGTTATTCATTTGAGGCTGAGTTGACCTCGTGAGGCCAAGGGCTAATTTAGGTAATCGTCACCGGTAACGGACGTGAGCGGGAATTGAACTCTGGTCCCCGGATTCGTAGTGCAGCGCGCTAGCCGCTGCAATACCACACGCACACACAGCCTACGCCAGAGGTCGCAACCGGGTAGCCGATACCCGTACCCTACCCGATACCCGGCTACCCGTACCCGTACCCGGCCGAGTACGGGTATGGGTAGTTTGCGACCCTGGTGCGGCCGGGTATGGGTAAGGAATCAAAACCCGTTTGCGACCTCTGGACTACGCAGGCTGTTACGCGAGTGATGTTAGTGAACACCGCTGAAGGCCGGCACGGCACACACAGGGGTGGTGTGGAAAAATCCTCCATGCACTCAGTAATAATTGAAGGTTTCAATAGACCTAGGCGTGGCCCAGGCTCGCAGTTCATTTAGAACGCAGTGAATACGTTTAATCGTACGACATGATTCGAGACAGATTTTGTGGGTTGGACCACCCGACAAAGCCAAAGTAATTTCAGTTTAACGCAACGGTGATAACCGCGACGGTGACTACGAGAACGACGACAACAACCGCAGCAGCGGCCCTGGCTGAGCGGCACCCACCTGAGCAGATGTACCAGAGCGGACGGTTGCTGGCGCCCTGCCCGACCTCCTCCTCCTCGCCCCCCTCCTCGTCGGCGACGAGCGTGAAGCCGCGGAACGGCATGCCGGTGGTGGGCAGCGCCGACACCTCGTTCAGCAGCCGCACCAGCCCGGGGCTGTCGGCGTTGGCGCGCGCGTGCGACAGCAACGCCGACACCGCCTCGGCGGTCCTCCCCGCCGCCAGCGCCAGCTTGGGCACGCCGGGCTCCGCCACGTCGGTCCCGGCGTTGCCGGCGCCTCCCGGCTTGCCGTACGGCTGCAGCACCACGTGGACGTTGGAGCCGCCGAAGCCGAACGAGTTGAGGCCGACGACGCCGCCGCGGCACGGCGTGGGCGTCGTCACCACGGTGATGCGGCCGTCCGTGAGCGCCGGGATGTCCGGGTTTGGCTCGTGGTAGTGCAGGTTGGGCGCCCACACGCCATGCTCCAGGGACAGGATCACCTGAACGCCCGGGCACAGGAGGGGGCTTTATCGGGTTCGGTGCCATCCGTCCCGTTCGTCCGTAATGCAGCGATCGTGAGAACTCTCGTAACGATGACGACAACTCTCGGGGAACGCGCCCGAGGGGACGTCCAACACGGAGGCGGAGTGGCGGCTTCAGCTCCGTGCAGGGGCAGCGAGATGATGTGATCGCTGCATCGCAGAACCGCGAGGGATGATGATGATGTTGATGATGATTTAGTACAATAACTCGAGAGGAAAGCAGAGATGGAAAGGAGATGGACATGAGATACAGCGAGTACAACAAGCCTGTTGGGGCAAGTGCTGTTAGCGAGCACCTACAAAGGCCAGCACGGCACACGAGAGGGTGGTGTGGCCGGGAACACGAGCGGCCGCCTTTGTCTCCTTAGCGGTGACGTTTTACACACCGCAACAAGTACTCATGGCCCAGGACCGATTCAAATATTCGCCGCTGTTATTGGTCACGAGCGGGAGTAGAACTTGGCTCGCCGGGTTCTTAGCGCAATGCGCTAAACCGCTGCGCGGCAACAGACACGCGCACGCACGCACGCGGGCGCCAAACTCACCTTGGCCAGCGCGGCCAGGCCGGACGCCGGTTCGGGGTGGCCCATGTTGGACTTGGTGGAGCCGACGAGCAGGGGCGGGCGCTCCCCCTGGCAGAAGACGTTGACGATGCCGCCAGCCTCCTGCGGGTCGCCCACCTTGGTGCCGGTGCCGTGCGCCTCCACGTACTCGACGGTGCTCGGCTGGCACGCCGCACTCGGCGTACACGGCGCGCAGCAGCTCCTGCTGCATCTCGCCCGACGGGAACGTCACGCCTGCGACGGGCACCACAGCACGCACGCACGCACGCACGCATTAGCACAGACGCGCTAACAAAGACTAAGATACCCCCCGTGCAGCCTTTAACAGACTCCCAGTAAACATGGAAAGTGGCCACGTGGTTGAAACCATTGGACGGTGGTTGGCCCAACGTTCCACGTTTACTGGGCTGTTGGCACGAGCATTGCTAGCGAGCGTACAAAAACCCACGCACGCGCGCACGCACGCACAGAGGCAGAGGTTGGGACTCGTGTTGTTGTAGCTGCGTGTGCGTTACCTTGCTCCTTGTATCCGTCCGTGTTGCTGCGTGCGTTGAGCACGGTGGCGTACACACGTTTGGCGAGCCTCTTGCTCGTGAGCAGCACCACCACGGCCGCCTCGGAGCGGCAGTAGCCGTTACCTGGACATGCGGACGGGGGGGCGGGTGGAGGAGTTTAGGGGGCGCGAAGGTGCAATCAGCAACGGCCAATCCGTCAGTGCGGCACCGGCACCGCTCGTCCCAACCGCTATCCACCATCATCATCGGTATCGCTACATATGTTTTATACCGCGCCTCCCATGCAGTACGTGAGACCACAAACAAAGGTAAATGATTAACACTGCACGTTGAAGATCCCGTGACATCAAGGACAAGGTGAGGATCATTGTGTGCCGGCGTCAACGGTCCAACCGTGACAAAATTTACAAAATGACACCGCAAATTACCGATATGGAATACACACAAAATCATCGCACCCTCCTGTCAAACACTTGGCAGGAGCCTCGCGAAAAAGTCATGAGACTCAGCGAGACTTTCCTGGGAAAATAAGCGGAGCAATAATAATCACAACAAAATTCACGATACTTCTGGTGAAGCTGTTCCACAGCTCTGGTGTCAAAACACAGGGCAGGCCTGACCGCTGTGACCCCATTCATTCGTACTCGAAAGGGAAAGCAGATTGAAAATTAATGTTTTACAAACTTTACTGATATCCCAGATGATTGTGGGAGCTCTACCTTGAGTTATGGCCTCGTTAAGGATTTATGGGCATGCTGCTGCTGCTGCAGATGAGACACAGGCCACCTAACAGCAGCAGCTGGCGCGACCTTTGAACTCAGTCACTCTTCACTGCACGAGCTATTATTACTATCTTTTTCTAGATTTGAAGCTTTCGTGACTGCAAGGATTCATACTCTTAGTTTTTTCGGTAAAGTCACGTAGGTAAACAAAATGAAATTACAAATTAATAAAAATGTAATAATAATAATATTATGAAATTAAAATTAATACAAATAAAATAATAATAATATTCTTTTATTTTTATTAATTTTTATTTCATTTTTTTCAATAATAATATATATATTTTTAAATTAATTTTAATTTCATTTTTTTACCTACGCGACTTTACCGAAAAAACTAAGCGTATTATTACTATCATCACCATCATCGTAATTATAACCGCAAGGCACGGCCGATAAAAAACCGGGCCAGTACCGGTGTAAAAAAAAAGCGGACATGCGGTAAACCCTCGACGCACCGGCGGCGTCGAAGGCCTTGCAGGTCCCCTCGGGGCTCAGCATGCCGAGCTTCATGAACTGCACCGAGGTGTTGGGCTTCAGCAGCAGGTTGACGCCAGCCACCACGGCCGCCTCGCACTGGCCCGAGCGGATGGCCTGGAAGGCGTTCTCCAGAGCCAGCAGGCTGGACGAGCACGCCGTGTCAATGGCCGAGCTGGGGCCTGCGGGGTCAGGGAGGGAGGGAGGGGCGGGGGATCAGTGTGTATTTTTCTCCAGGTCCTCCGGTTTTGCCCCTCCACATTTAGAATCAACGAGCGATTAGAGTATTCGGCTGCTATACATGTCAACGTGATGAGCCACTTCGTTGAGCTATCACTTCTGAAAAAGAACCTCATAGCTAGGTAGGCCTTACCTGGTAAAATAGGTCAGCCTGGAGAGGATTTACAGCAGCAGTGGGAAACCTTTTCCTTATTACCGATGCTGTTTTTTTATATAATCGCAAACCAATGTTTTTATGAATGCTGTTGTAAATCAGTGTTAATTCTGATGCTTTTAGCAAGTGGCCTAGTATTGTGAGCATGTATCGTGGGCCCTGGAGCAACGAGTGAATGGGCCCCCCTCCTGCCCCCCTGAGTCCAATACTGCCCCTCTTTGTGGCATCTGAGCCTATCCTCTTCGCAAGTGTGGCATCTGAGCCTATCCTCCGGCCCGCAACGCTCCCTCCCCACCAACCCCCGGTGCAGATGAACCGACGGCGCTCACCTTTGAGGTCGAAGAAGTAAGAGAGGCGGTTGGCAAGCATGGCGCGCTGGCAGCCCGTCATGCTGTAGCCCAGCAGCTCGGCGGGGTCGCGGCTCAGGGCCTCCCCGGCCTCCGAGCCGCTCACACCCACCCAGACGCCCGTGTTGGTGCCACGCAGCTGCTGGGGGTTCAGGCCTGTCGCAAGCACGCGCACACACAGGAGCACGTGAGGTTGGGTGCATGGAAGTGCGCATGACAACAACCGCCATTCGCCACTAAGTGGCGGTGACATCACCACGGCGCTTGTGCCAGGCTATGTGCAAGTTGAGGCCAGGTGAAGTGTCGAACGCCCACTGGCAGGAGGTAACGGGGCAGACTCAGGTGCCACGGGTCGACTGACTGAGATGACTGGCCGATGCACCACCTGTGCCCCCTACTAAGTACGCACACACACACACGTGCACGCACGCACATGAATACACATGCGCGTGAGCACATGCATGCAAGTACGAATTTGTTTTGAGCAAACGCAAGCGACGAGCACGCACGCGCAACACGTTCGAGCACACACACAAGAGCATGCAAGCACAGGGACGCACACGCACGCTCGAGTACAGGTCTGTACCCTTACACGTGGACTCCACACAAGCACCGGAGTGAGAGCGCGAACGTGCAGACACACAAACACTTGAACGACAGACGAGCAAACGTGAAACTGTGAAAGGCAAATATGGATAACACAAGAAAACGCAGATAGGTGGATGACAAAGACAGATCCACCGATGCGAAGGCATGAATGAAAACTGTGAACACCAAAACCCACAAACGTGCGAACGACACATTCATGGCAAACAACGCGCACACGCAACCAACGCAGACGAGCAGACCAGAGTAAATGCACGTGGAATGGACACGCGGCAAATGAGAACGGCTGACAAACATGCACGCAGGCACGCGCGCACGCAGACACGCGCAAACGCAACGCGTTACCAGCATCTACGATGGCTTCGTAGGTGAGCTCCATGAGCAGCCTGAGCTGGGGATCCATGGTGTTGGCTTGTTTGGGATGAACGCCAAAGAACGCCGCGTCAAACTTGCTGATATCCTTCAGCTTGCCGTTTCGAGGGGGCAGCCCGTACAGACCTTGCGGCACGGGGATGGAGGACGGGATATTTAGTAGAGTCGTCAGAGGCACGGCTACCATGGTTACCGTTCCTGTGAGCAAATTACTCCTCGATTCCTCCAGCCGTGTTGAGGCCTCGGCCTATCAGACACCGACCGAGTCATCTCGTCCATCTGGCTGTGTTCAACCACCACCACTAACACTGCAGGTCACAACCACACACTCACCCACTCACCCGCTCACCCTCACCCTGCACGCTTAACCACTCACCCACTCATTCACTCATTCATTCATCCACTCACTCATCCACTCGCCCACCTTTTTACCAACTTACCACACTGCTTTTCCCCAAGCACTTACAATAATAACCTTGTACAATTCAAGAAGAGTATTACCTCTTATCTACAACAACTTTAATCAGTGCTATTTTTTATGGCAAATTTGCATAGTTTGGGCCTGTGCTTAGCGACCGTGATAAAGATGAATATCTTGGGAAAACCAGGTCAGGTGGTAACCCCAACCGCTCGCCCTTCCCACCTGGTTTCCAGCGACGGTCATCTTCCGTCACCATGTCCACCCCGTTGATGAGGTTCTCCCAGAACTCGTTGAGGTTGTCGGCTTCTGGCAGTTTGCCCGCCATGCCGGCGATCACCACCTCGGTGGCCATGTTGCTGTGGAAAATGGCGGAGGGGTGGGGAGGAGGAGGAATGAGAAGGAAACAACATTCACAGCGCAGCTACTGACACCAAAACTACCGGCGTAGCTCTGGAGTGTGCAGGCCGTCCAATTGCACGGGCACCCAGATCCCAGGCTACGAAGAGGTGGGAAGGCAGACAGGTTGTGGGTACGGGGGGCTCTACCAACCAACCATGCTAGGCCACAAGCAACAGTTGGGGAACGGGCAACATTCAGAGCACAGCAGTGACCAAAATGTGTGAAATTCACAAAGCTGCACTTCTGTTGCGTACTCGACACGCTAGCGCCGTTTAAGTGTAATTAAAATGGAGGACGTGTGCGATGCGAACATCACCCAGGGTTTCCGAGGAGACGCCTCCAGTGCGGCATACAGTGTATGATTTTAAACGCAAGCGACAACACCATCAATAATTCAGTGGGCCCGCTGCACGTTGAGTATACACAATATGTGGCACGCTCTGCGAATAAGGTAATCAAACATCGTAATCAATGGGCTGGTTTTTTTAGGCTTCATCATCTTTCCGTGATGTAGATTTACACATGGCATTAAGTACAGGAAAAGAGCTCAATAAGATAAATATTTAATGAAGTTTATAATCTATATATATGGAGCAGCTGCAATGAAATCCGGCCCGGTGGCTCAGCTCGTACAGAGCGAGCGGATTGCAATCGCAAGGTTGCGAGTTGACACCCTGTTTGGGGGTTCGACTCAACCCATCATCCCTCCTGGGGTCGCTAAAATGCGTCCCAATTTGTGAAGAAGTCAATAGTGGTTGTCCTGTTGATAGACTCACCCCTGCCAAAGCAATGAGTAATGTCCACCACTGGCTCAGGGCTGTAAGTTGGAGAGCCGAGATGCTCATTTGAGCAAGACATCACTTTGACCCGACAAGTAGCGCTGCTGGGTGGATTATTACAACGCAGGATCGCCAGAGATGGCGACAACTTGGAGAGGCCTTCATCCATCAGTGGATTGATCATGGCTGATGATGATCTATCAGCGACACATTGATTTTGGCAACAACATTGGCAAGGAACTTGATCCGTGGAACTGTTGCGGATGCTACGATTTAGTGGGTTAACATTTCAAAAATATATTACTGGTGCACGGTGATTTACAAAAATGGTTTTGAAGGTTGACAGTGAGCACACAGGCCCAGACCGATGAGGAACCACTGCTGTAGGGTACTGGTGCATCCTGGGTGGAGTGGGGGTTATGGGGTGATATTGCGATATAGAAATTGCAGCCCAGGGTTTAACTTCAAATCGGACAATATGCTCCACAGGCCATCTGGCCACATTCGCCTCCCCTCATTGAGCCACCTTACCAGGCCACGTTTCAGTACCGAAACGCAATCTAAACCCACCATAATGAGGACTTGGCAAACATGACCTCCTCCACTGCCCATCAGTGACACAATGAATCTCTATATATTGTTAACAATTATCTCAATTATGTATGAAAGGGTGTAGTGGTGGCGGCGGGCACATTGTGCTATGCACCCGAGAAAACCGAGTTCAATTCCTGGCCACAGCTAGTCTCAGTGGCAGATTATATCAGTAATGGACCTGCCACCCTCACCACCCTCCATAATCCAACCTCAACCAACACAGATTAACCAGCGTGGTGAAGTATGGTTAAAAACAAACCCATGACCGGTATAGCTTGGTTAAGCCTTTATCTTTTGGTGGATTGGCTGGAATCTATGTATTTAATGTATAGTATTTATGTTTTAATCTAACACACAGTAGTATGATGGACAGTTCTCCATCCACATCATGACTAAAGGAAGGCCCCCTTCCATTAACATTGCATGCTGCCGTGCGCTGGTAACCAGTGAAAACATAACTTACAAAAAAAATATTGCTGACTTTGACACACCATAAAATAAAATAAACATGAAACAAACGTATGCGTAAACAACCATTTGTTGTAGTTTCATCAGCCACGAATTCCTTTTACGCGACGCGGTTACTAACCAGCCGGGTCTTTTCATGGCACCAACATGTTCCCGCCAAATTCTATAACTCCATAATGTATCATTATTATTATAGTTATAAACATGTACTGTACACGCACAAGCCCGTTTGTGAATCTCCACTGCTGGCTGAGGGCCTAAAACTCACGCCGTGCGGGTCATGGGACTGACTTTGACCATACTTCACCACGCTGGTTATGGCGGGATTTTGAATAAAGTGCTAAATTTGTTTGATTTAAAGAGTGTTTTCTTTCTCACGAGAGCGAGTTGACGTCGCAACATACTACTTCTGAGGGGAACTGAAGTGATTCGGAAATAAAATTGGATCTTGTTCTCATTTTAAGATGTTAATACAGCAGTGCTAAACCCTCAAGGTATGCACTGTAGCCGATTACATTTTATTTTGTATTGAGTAATTATATGTCCACTATACATAGCCACGGGTGTAACTTGACCATACTTCACCACGGGGGTTCTAGCAGGATAGATGAAGGTTAACAGGTACAATCCCCAAAGTCAAGCTGGGCTAAAGCCTCCATAATTACACTGAGATCTCTTTTACCAGTGGCAAAATATAGGTTTTTACCCTTTTAAACTGGTACAAAACTGACACCTTTATTCAAGGCATCATATATGCAATAACCACAACACAAGTAGTCAAAAAAGCAAACATAATTAATCATTGCATGGGTTGATCACCAAACACAAAACAAAACAACAGGATTACGTGGGTGTTTGTGGGCAGGTGAAATCATCTGGGGTGCAGCAACACCCATATAGTCCTTGTACCTACCCCACCACCCCGCATTGACCAGAGTGGTGAAGTATGGTCGAATAACCCTCACTGCCCCGCTGCTGGACGGACGAATTGAACTTGTACAACTTTATTCTACTTTATCGGAGGAATTGGCAACATTATCAAGCCAGGCGATGCGTATTCTCAACGTGACTGCGTAGATATTGGCTTGGTATGAAGTATATCATGGAACATATTTTATTCATGACAAAATAGGTTTGTACCCTTTGTGGCAATAAAGCAGGTGTTGTTAAGATGTTCAAACAGCACAGATGTTCAAACACCACATTGCATTAACCACACGTGCTTGTGAACATGCTGATAATATAATCTACGCGTTATCTTTGAAAGTTATTGATCTACACCAGAGGCAGCCTTTCTGTATGGCCATGCCTCACCAGTGTCAGGCCAGACAATGCCAAAAGGCGAACAAATGCAAGGGCAATGCACGATCAGAGGATTTTATAGCTCGTGGTAAGAGCAGCTACAAAATGGGACATTTTTTTGCCAGTATCAAAGTATGAAAATATTAAGAGTTTTTGCCCTTTCTGGCAATAAAACAGGTGTTTTGCTGTTCAAACACCAAATAAAAAACCTTTAGCAAGCAATCAAAGTCTGCATTAACCACTTATTTTATTCAGTTTTATGTTGTGGGGCGAGGGGGTGCAGAAATCCGAAAGTTTGTATTGACATTTCTATAAAAAAAAAATTACATTTTGTGTAATTACGGTAGGTTGCAATTTCTCAAAAAGCATAAACTTTTAAGCTTCAACCAACAACGTAAAAGAAGCCGCGTCACGTGACCGGCACACGTCGCGCGCGCGCTCGTGCCACGTGACCAACGGACTCGCCGCGGTGACGTCACGCGAGCAGAGACCAATAGCAGGGCGCGCTTTGGACACGGCCACGCCCCCCCCCCTCACACCGCGCGGGGACCACGTGGGGAGCACGTGTCAAGGCGGTGCTCGATGTAACGTGTGGGTCTATCCACTGCTGAATGGAGAAACACACAAAAGCCTCTCCTCTCCCTCTTCACCACAGGGCCTGGGCACGTGTTTAACGACAAACACGAGCTGACTTTCATCGCCCCCAATCCTCCGCATGGTGGTTGTGCTATCGGGTTGTGTTTGGTCCGCATTGGCTGCCACATTCCTTGGTTCGTTCCCACCATTGGCCATTACGCTATTGTAGTCGACGGTTTGCAAGCCTTTTGGGGCTTGCAATCCAGCGGTCGTCGGTTCGATCGTTCTCCCGGCGCGGAAGTTCAAACAATGAGCACGTTTCTTGCTCTGACCACGCAGCAGTATAAATGTGTACGCAGAGCGGTGGGATAAATTGTGGGGAAACACCCACTTCTAAAACGTCTTGCCAGCGTGGAAGAGTAGGCCAAATACAGTACCTAGAGTCGAGAGGGCTTCGCCAGTGTTTCCTTTAGCGGAGACACCGTCAGCATTAACGCGAGCTATGCATTTCACGCCTTACGTAACGTTACATTCAGTGGATGCAGCACATCTTATGCATTTCAAAGGGCGAAAGCGAATGGTGATTACAAAATAACACAGCACTGTAATTCCATAGCCATTTGGCCATCCACTGCTGGATGAAGGCCGTCCTTACGCCTTTGCGTTGTAATTCTAGTGAGCCGACCATGGACATCACCGCAGCATTCCTGCTACACCGAATCATAACTGCACTCGGAATGTGCTTGCTTCGTTAAACCTCAAAGCTGTACAAACCGACGTGTACTGGGTCTCATTGATCCAATGCTGCCTTCACCGTACTGCAGTGCTGTACAGGTTGCAGTCCCAGTAAACGTATCAACGTTTGACTCAACGTTGATACGTTTACTGGGTTCAACCCCATCCACTGCCGGCCACACCGCGCGGATCGTGGAGGGTTATTACATAACCATATTTAATTTACGTCGCCGAGTCGTTGCGGATTAAGGCATGGAACATAGAAGTGCAGTACAACAATGTTGCGCTTTCAGCGAACAACAACAAAAATGCCATTCAGTGGACTTAGCAGCAGCGCTGAATGGAGTGAATTGCATCAGCATGCAGCTCACACACACACAGACATCCACTGTACAACACCACGACCACGCGTTAACAACTGCAGCCGCACCGAATCGCGTGGGGGTTACGCGTACAGCCCTCCCCCTTCTTGTCACTCCACTGCTGGATGAGGGCCTCCCCTAAGCCGCGCGGGGAGTGGGGATTCTTCCCGGTACTCTGTCTCTCCATCTACTGCACTCCTGTGATTCCCAAGTATACACGTGCAACGTTTGGGCCAACGTTGAGGCTTATGATCGGGTGACAACCCACAAACAGGGTGCCATAGGCGGCTGCGGGGCTACAGGGTGGGCAGCAGAGGGCAGTGAAGAAAAATCCATTATCTTGCGCCCATGCTCCCTCGCACTGACCGGCGTGGTGAAGTATGGTCAAATAATCCACACGACGGTATTGGGGAGTCCCTCGTCCAGTAGTGGATTGACAAAAGGGCTGTCTGTACGTTTAGGGGTGTGTGGATACACATTTGAGATGGGCTTGCCACCTGTTCCGGTTTGATACGGATAGTTCGGGAATTGGCATTTGTGTTCTGGTGGCAGGAATTGATTTACACCGAATTGTGATACTGATAGTGCGTTGAACTTGATTGCAGTATGCCGCACAGCACGTATAGTGTCTGTGTTCGGTCTGTGGGGAAGGTGGCAACCCTTACTTTGAGGTTGTATTGCACTCGTGCTGAATTTCAATGAATTCAACATGAACATTTTTTTTAAGCCATAGCTGCTACACTGGGGTCTTTGATTTCACTTGTCCGTGGGGCGGGGGGGGTTACGTATGGATTCTTGGGGTTTGTCACTAAAATTATAAAGGTGTGGCCACGTGTTCCAGTACAGTATACACGTGTGTACTGTACTCAGTACTGTACTCATTACAGTACACACGTGTGTACTGTATTGGAACATACTCATGTCTTTGTCAGCGTGGGTTGCGAGCTCACACACACACGTTACACGGACCAGACAGGAGGGTTTGACTCCCGACCAAGCCAGTTCATGAGATCTTGGAGCCCGTAAATGCCAATTTAGGCACCGTAAAATCACTCTGGCCACGTGTGAAGATGAGTCCACTGGTGTTGGATCAAAGCGTTGGTCCTTCAGGCGTATGTCCTCGAGATTCACCTGTGGCTGGTCAGCCAGTGGCGGCGAGTGATATCCGAACCGACCCTCCCGACTCTGCTCTTCACTAACACACCGATGTCCAGTGTGGTGAAGTATGGCCAAACAAACCCCCCTTGACCAACACGTTGTATGGGGGGGTCCTTTATCCAGTAAGTGGATGGACAAATGGGCTCTACTGGCCAATTAGCAAGCCTTTGGTTTGGGGGCATGTGGGAAGGTTAGGTGCTTTAATTGGTCTATTATCTTGTGTGTGCGATTCTGACCTCAAGTTACCGCAATACTTCGAGACGGCATTTACAGCAACATTAAAACGCAATGCGATATCCCGATACTGTTCACTGTAATTGCATGCACTGCTGTTAGACCGCAAAATGACCAATCTCGCCCTGATTGTGCCCGATCAGATCTCGGAAACGAAGCAGACGTTGAGGCTGGATAATTCTGGGATGGGCGAACACCAACACTAACATCGTCAGCAGTGGCACAAGCGCAGCAAAAATCCACTGTTGTACTCTGCTGTGCTTTATATACTCATCCGCCCACACTGACCGTGACCGGCGTGGTGAAGTATGGTCAAATAAGTCCACGACCCGAGCACGGTGTGAGCCCAGTAATGATGGAACGTTGGTTCAATGCATGTCCAACGGTTCAAGCCACATACCAACAACGTTGGCATGACGTTGACATGTTTTTTGCTGGGAGGATGCCCTGTTCCCAAGCAGTGCATTGACGTTAAAGGGCTCCCCCATGTGTACACTTGCAGAACACACGCGTGACGCATGGACGCGAATATACAGTACACACTGTACTGTGACGCATGTTATCGTAGCGTGAGTCGCTCATCAAGTTATCTGATCGCACGTGATTATCTCTGATGCAGGACCCCCCCCCCCGGCCAGCAATGGCAATTCCACATTAGCATGACGGCGCCAAGTCCATTCAAGCCCTACACGTAAACCCCATGTCGTGCACGTCTCCAATACGATTTGAATTTTACAGAGAATCTCAAATCGCCCGCATTTCAACATGACCAGCCCCCCCCCCCTTCTGTCAAATCCACTGCTGGATGAAGGCCTCCCCCAAACACGCCTTGTCGGTCGTGTGCGAATGTTTGGCCATACCTCGCCACGAGGTTTGTGGATGGGGTAAAGGAGGAGGGTGGAGAGGGGTGGGAATGGTCACTTGCCACTGACGTTGGCCGTGACCCGGAACGCAAGTCAGGTTTGCCGGGGGTCACGGCGCATTGCAGTATTTGCTCAACGTTTGCGTTGCAACTGCCAGGACAGGCGAACGCATTGTGTTTTTTTAAAAAAAAACTCTAAAGAATCCATGACTCTGCCGTCATTAGTCATGATCTATCTACTGCTGGATAAAGGCCCCCTAAACCTCCATCGTTAAAAGCTGTCGCGTTGTAAAGCCACTTGCGATTGCCCAGTCAACGCAGTCAAACAAAGCAACTCTGAACCGGGCAAGACCGACGTTCGAGTCCAGGGCCACTGCCAACGTGTTCAAACCGGTCCTCTGGGCAAATCCCTCTTATAACCACACATCCGATTAGCACGGTTGACGACGTACGGTGCGAAAAAAGTTCAACATACGCACATAAAACCCGCACTATCCAGCGTGGTGAAGTATGGTCAAACAACCCCGAATAACCAACACAAGGGCCCCTGTGGAAATGCCTTCATTCAGAAGTGGATTGACAAAACGTTCTAAGTTAAATACTCAATAATCAATAATTATTATTAATTACACAGTGGCTCAATGATTAGATGGGTGAGCAGTCTACGCAGTCTAGGGAATGTGGGCGGTAGATGGCAGTACGACGAAATCCAACAGTGTGTGTGTGTCCACTCACTCCGGCCCCCTATACACACACTGACCGGCGTGGTGAAGTATGGTCAATTAGCCCCCCACGGGACATACAGGGCGTGGGGAGGGGAGGGCCCTTTGTCAAATCCAGCGGTGAATTGACAGAGAAAGTGCATCAACCATGGTAGTAGTTAATGCCACGACGTACGCGTTTATGTTCGACTTCTTTCGCACCGTACGTAGCTAATCGGAGGTGCGGTGATATAACATTGGGGGGGGGGGGGGGGGTAACACAGTGCCCCAGCAAGATTCGTTAGCCACACAAACACCCACGGCAACACAAATCGCTGCTGTTGCTTACTGCGGGGTCATGGATCGAGAGAGACACTCAACCCAGCGGTAGGCGGCAGATAAGATTAGCGAATTACGGCACCGACAAAATCAATGGCTTGTCCGCTCAGCCATTCGTTTTTCAGGCCCTTTAAGACGAACACTATTTATGTGCTCATACAAAACACTGAGAGGAGAGGGAGAGGAAGAGACGTCTCTCTTACCTGCTGTGCTGCTGCCGAATCCGAGCAGGAATTACAGACCGATTTGATGCGCGCCCAGCGACGGACGGATGGCCGGGCGGAATGAATGAATGATTCACAGGATCTTTCAGACGTCCGCCGGGTGATCGAACGTATTTTCTCTCGGCAACAGCAGGGGATGTCTCGTTTCGTCTTCCTCTCTCCGATGTCAGATTTGAGGTGAAGGGGGGGCCGGTCTTGAAGCTATCTGTAATCTTCAAGATGCCGTTGATGGTGATGAGCGATGATTACAATTCAGAACCCTTCCCCACGGCGAAAATGATTTAATTCTAGCGTCAAATACGACACTGGTTCCAATGCCGCTGCTGCTGCTTATGATGATGGTGGTGGTGGTCGTGGGAAGTGGTGATGATGGTGGTGGTGGTCACAGGGGAAGGGGGGGCCTTTGGGCTGTGTGTGTAAGGGGGGGGGGGCACTGCTCGGCCCTGGTTGTCCAGTGAACACACACAGCCTTCCTTAGGGTAGCGCCTGTATTATATATGGATACGCAATCGATACATCTAGGAAGCAGCGACACACGTGGGGGGGGGGTCGGCAGGGGCGGGGGGGGGGGGGGGTCCCCCCCCCCTTCACCAACCCCGCCCCCTCCCCAACGACGTGGGCTGACTGTACAATTATCCGGTCTCGACCAATAGGACGGCCCCGTTGCCGTGACGTCACAGGGTCTGGTGGCGAGCTGGTGGAGATCGGGCGATGGTTTAGCGGGGGGAGGGGCTATGAGGGGGGGGGGGAGGGGCTATGAGGGGGGGGGAGGGGAGGGGCTTGAGGGGAGGGGCCCCGGGTTACCCGCGGTCACGGTCTGAGCCCTGCTCGGCTGTCCAATGAGCGCGCGCGAGAGTGATTGGTGTTGGGATGATAGCGTGTTCACTGGGGGGGGGGGGGGGTTCGGTCCATTCGGCGTGTCACACGTGAAGCATGTCACCTCGTAGTCATCGCCCCCCCCTCGTCACAGTGGCTCTCTCTACCCTTCGAGCTATGGCACTCGCCCCCCCCTACAATATCTCCCACCTCTCCCCCGGCAATCCACACCACTGCCCCCTAACGCCGACCGCCAACTCACTCGTTTGCTCAAACTGACAGCTCGCCGTCAACACCGCGTTCCACGCTGTGGATTTCTCCTGCACGGTATCCATGCCCGCAGCCGGTGCTGCTCCTATGAAAGACTTAGGCTCTCCCTCCCCACCCCCGATCCATTATGTATTAAGGTGCTGGCGATGTAACAATCCATCTACCGCCTGCAAGCGAACGGATCAATATAATCGATCCGTCTAGCCGGCAAAAGACCTCGGATACGATCCCTCGTTTGGCTGCCATTCCGTAGCTAGTCTCGATCACCGGCTGTCGGGACCGTCTCGCCATTGGCATGTCCTTGCCCAAGCCCACTCGCCTCTCGTCACCGTGTTCATGATGCCATCGGTGTGGGCAAGGGCCATCGGGTGCCAATCGATTAATATTGATTATTAAGCTCACACTACAAGTGGAATCACACTACAAGTGGAATCACGCACGTGATTGTAGTCTTTGTGAATTGAGCCCCCCCCCCCCCCCCCGTTCACTGACATGTTTAAAGAAAATCGATTCTGATTTTGTGTTGTGTATTATAAAGTTTTCGTGTCGAACTAGGGACCCCGATCTTACAGAGACCCAGGGTATTTGCCGAAACACATCTTGACGTTCACCAGCATTGGTCCAAGCAAGCCTGACTGTTGATGAGACACTGGATGTTGAAACCAGTCCTTGCCTATCTGGATGTCGCCGGTTCGACACATCTCGGCACGACAGATTAAATGATGGTGAAAGTTATTTTTACATCCCTACCTCCTCTATACACCATAGTCTACGATCTGCTGGTCGCATTTGGTTGGGTAATATGCACAACTCTTACAACATTTCTGGATAGCGCGGACGAGTATGCCAAACACCCTTTTCAACTCGTTTTTAGTCGGTGGTCTAAACAATAATATGGCCACATTCATTCCGATCTTTGAGCTGGTGGTGTTGACAAGGCTGAGCATCGGACATGCAGTGTGGTGGTCAAATAGCACGCACTCACACAAGGCATATGGGAGTTATTTCCTCGTACTGCTTGTGATGCTAAATCTTCTCACCTACTAACCCACTCACTCATCCACCCACACCTTTACATGTTATTAATGTTTACATCCTGCAGTATAATAATAATAGTTCAATTTGTAACGCGCGCAAATTTGCAGACGTAGTGGCCGCAACTCAGAGTATCCTCCTGTAATCATTTACACTGTTGAATTTGTAGTGCAGGTCACTGCAGCATTTGTTATTTACCATAATGCTGATAAAGGATAAAAATCAAATAAGCAAAACATTTATACGTAAATAAAAACATATATAAACTTTTAAATTAGCCCTCGCTAAAAAAATAATGAACTCAGTGACATTAATAGGGACCATGAAATCCGCTTAGCAATGGCGAAATTCATCGCACTCTGTCCTCTAAATCGGGCACAGACCCCGATGCTATTTGTCTGTTATTCGTTCGTTAGGGTGCATTAGTCCGGCTGAATGAGCCCCATGGTGTGGTAGGGGTGGGGGGTGAAGATGCGGGGTGGAGGGGGGTCACATCAGCACGTACTCTCGCCCAGAATCCTGGAACATAATAACGGTCAGCCAGGCTCATCGGAGGGCAGCGATGTTGTAACGCCACGATGATGTTACGGGTTGCATGCGGGTGGTGCCATTGTCCCGGTCAAAGCTGTTTTGCAGAAGCGCGTGGCCCGGCCTGACTCCCCGTGCCAGCGTGCCAGGCATGGTGCAGCGACATGATGTTACGCATAGTGCAGCGGGCTAGGAGAACACTGCACAAGCGGATGTACCTGTTGCAGAGACTAGTGCAGTGGCATAGCGCGGTTGGCGTGAGCCCGAGTGCAAGGATGAAAACGGGGGGCCCGCTGTCCACTTTCCCCTCCAGTCTTCGTCGCCCGGTGCCTGGGCTCCTCTCACCCTTGAGAGCCCTGGTGCAGTTGCACTGTGCTGCACAGTCAATAGCTATGCCACTGCTGCAGAATCTGCTATGACAATAGCACTCCCCTGCTGATAGCCCATCTTCGGTGAGCCCACACGACAGCACATGTCATAGAAGCCACAGCACACCTGCTTTGAAACCATACCTGGTGTTGAGGCTATAGCAAATTTACAAACCTGTTTATAGAAGGGCTTTGAACACCTACTGTGTCTATACAGACTAGAGACACCTGCGGTGGCTACGTCTGTAGAGGCTATATAATATTTAGACAATGTACAGCCCCTTCATTAAACCACTGCTGGATACAGGCCTATCCATACTGTCGGCCATAGGGTCTGGTTGACCATAGTTCACCACGCTAGTCAATGCGGGTTGGTGAAGGATGAGGAAAGGCCGGTTCAGATATAATTCGCCAATGATATTATCTGTGGATGGGAGTCAAAGTCGGGTCACCGGGTTCAGAGTTTAGTGCACAAACCACGACGTTACCGCTCCACCAAGAGGTCATACAAGTTCTGTAAAAGCTCCCTGCGCTTGAACACCTGAACCCCAGAAATGGGTGATGGCCTAGCTGCTATGATATAATCATTGACGGCAACAGATCAATGATTGATGGAGAAGAGTGAAGGGATGGGCGGTTGAGCACGAGTGGTGGCTGCCTTCAACGGTGTCTGTGCCTCCTCCACAACCAACATTCAGGCTCCACCCCAAATAGGTTCAACTCCAGAAAACCCTGTACCGTAGTTTGACCTCATGCAAAGGGAGATGAGGGGGGAGGGCAGACAAAAAAACTCGGGTGGGTACAACAGTCAAAGTTAAATAAACTTTAAAAAGATGTTAAACGCTCAACGGAGCGAGCGGTCTGCTTTTGTACATTATGCTCTCTGCCTTAAGCTATCACACACTAAGTAGAGAGGCCTTTGCAAGAGGCCCTTGCAGTGGCAGAAGTGACCGAGCGCACACAAAAATTAGAGCCCGTTGCCAGATAGAAAATATTGACCGTCGAGGTACCCCATCACCACTGCTTGGAGAAGCTTGTATTGACAAATGCCGTTTCGTGGTCGTCTCGTGAGTGCAAGTTTGGGAAGTGGGAATATTTATGTTATAGGGAGATGGCACAGTCGAGCAGGCAGAGGAGAGAAGGAAGGTCTTGAAGCATGGACGTATCGTGCTTAGCAGGTGCCCTGATGCAAGGTATTGCAATTGGGGCCCTCTCTAGGGTTGCCACCTTTAACACACACTCTCGGTCAGCCTGGGTCTATCATAACCTCAAAAAGAAATAAATTATGAATTATACTGTAACTAGGTTTAACAGAATACCACTGCATCTTAAGTCATAATACATATCTCGTGCCGGGCAGGAGGCAAGCCCTATCCCTGTCCAACTCTCCTCCCTCTTCGTCGACCGGCGCCTGAGCCCGTCTTGTCTATGGGCTGCCCAGGTGCAATTGCACCACCTGCACACTCAACAACAATGCCACTGTGATAGGGCTCCTGCGATTGAGGCTCCCGTGAAATAACATCCCTGCTGAATACCCACGTACGCTGCGAAAAAAGTTCAACATACATACATTTGTCAAAGAAGTCACAACACATCAGCAGGTGATCTCATAACACACCTATGGGTGTTACGAGACAATCCGTAACAATTCTAGATTTGAAGCTTTCGTGACTGCAATGATTCATATTCTTAGGTTTTTTCGGTAAAGTCACGTAGGTAAAAACATTAAAAAGTAAAATAAAATAAAAATCACGACGTTTCGGAGGCAACACAAGCTTCCGTCTCATTTACTTGATACAGCTGTCGTGGCTGTGACGGTACCACCTGAAGACGGAAGCTTGTGTTGCCTCCGAAACGTCGTGATTTTTATTTTACTTTTTAATGTTTTTACCTACGTGACTTTACCGAAAAAAACCTAAGAATATGAATCCGTAACAAGGCTATGTCAATACACGACTGGACCATCCCAAGCCTACGTGTTAAACCTCCATCCCTCCCCCTGAGAGAAATGGTATCGCCCAGACCGTCCCATCCCAGGTGCCGGTGGTGCCATGTGGCGCCGTGCGGTACAGACGGAGGGGCGGGCGGGTCGCAGGGCATGGACTCTCAGTGGCTGATTTTGCTCACTCCATCCACCCCCCCTTGTCCCCAGTCCCACTCATTTATAATAAAAAAAATGTAAATCCCGCACGGCGCTGCCAGGGAGCCGGGTAAGGCGGCCGGGCCAGTCTCACTGGTTTGAGCTCCACACCCGTCTGGGGTGGTTACCGGTCCGTGTGGAGAGCGAGTCGTTTTGTGAACGGCCGTGGGCCCCTGTCACAATGAGTTTAAAATAAAATATATTTTGTATAAAAATAACAAAAACCGGCAACCCATACGCAGTGGGGAAGCGCTCATGCAGCAGTGGATTGGCAGAAGGGCTGTGCATGTAACCAGAGATTTGTCACAATTTGGTATCACGGTTATATTGAAGCGTTCATCGTTTTGTCTCGGGCTTACCGTCTTGCGTGTTATTTTTTTTGTTCAGTTTATACACTCCGCTCTTGTAGCGCAAATGTCCCTATCGAGTCTCACCCCACTCATAACTGCGGGTTGATGTCTGTGACGGATCCTTTCCCATATTTTGCTATATTCAGCGTCTCCCGTGGATATTGCTGTAGTACCGCTAAAATGGTCCCACCAAGAATCGATTGATAGGTAAGAAAGTGCACCTTCACATGCCAAATCGTTTCTGTATATTCATAGAATCGATTCCAAACGCACCATCGTGGCAAAACGGTGTCGATTATGTAAACACAATCACAACCCTGAATCATGAGAATCCATAGATTTACGGGGGAAGTGAATCGCTCCATGTCTACTGCACATTGCATGAACTCCTGAAGCAAACTGCAGACAGCAACCACGGAAATGTTTAACAGCCCATTTGTCTGGACGAATGCCTCCCCATCTGATGTGGGTCATGGGCAGGGTTTGGTAACTAAACTAAGAAGGCATTTTTTTAAAAAAATTGGTTAAAAATAATTCAATGCATGGGTATACGAGGCAGTCTTTAAAGAGCACGCATGCAGCTCCAGAGACGCAGGCTGCAGACCCATGATCGCAGGGAATATTTGACCATACTTCACCATACTGGTCAGTGCGGGGTTTTTTGGGAAGAGGGACCCAGGACCCACGTCTCATTCAGATATCAGTCACCACTGGTGTTAGCCGAGGCTAGTAAATTGATTCAGGCCACCGGGTTCACAGCACAATGTCCTAATTACAGTGCCACCGTTCCACCCATGACATGTTGATGCATGAAAATTCCTGTGCTCAGAGTTTATGGGTCCAGATCAGATATGTCGCCTATTGGGTCTGCCTGCTGACATGGCAAAATCATGTTTTGTGAATAAACAAAACAGAAAAACAATTATCATAACAGACTTAAGTTCATCTCAAGAAAAAAAATATTACTGTACTTGAAATTCCATAAACTTATGGGTCTTCCGAAACAACACCGCACCCTCAATTAGCACCGTTGGTTATGTATTGTACAAAATAAGTTCAACATACACACAACAACGTTTAATAGCAGCAGTTCTTTCAACTCAATTTCAAACTTCAGGGTCTCATTGGCAGAGCCAAGCCTGCCGGAGCAAATGCTGCCATTTTGCCAAACGTATTGGCAAGAGCCCTCCACTAAAGCGGTGTTCTGTCAGTACAAAACAGCAACATTGTAAAAAATCATCACGTACTATTGTTGAGGATAATGGGTAATTAATAAATACAACTGCTATACAATTAGGGGGGGGGGGTGACATGGCCAAGCGGTGGCGCATGTTCGTCGCTTGTTGCAGAGGTTCACAGTTCGATTCCATCAGGCCGCCCTGGTCATTAATGCGGCAATGACCAGGGCGGATGAAGCACCACACGGATAACGCAAAACGTGTGAAATAAAAATAATAAAACATTCATGTAGACTGTAGCCTGGTTCTTAATCGGAGTGAGTGTACTGGCAGTCTATAATGTAGACTGTAGCCCGGTTATTAAGTTTGGTGAGTGTACTGGCAGTCGATAATGTAGACGTAGCAATGGTTAAGCTGGGTGAGTGAACTGGCAGTCTATACTATCGACTGTAGCCTGGTTCTTAACCTCGGTGAGTGTACTGGCAGTCTATAATGTAGAATGTAGCCTGGTTTTAAGCTGGTGAGCATATTAGCAGTCTATAATGTAGACTTTAGCCTGGTTATTAACTTGAGTGAACGTACTAGCAGTCTATAATGTAGACTTTAGCCTGGTTATTAACCTGAGTGAACGTACAGGCAGTCTATAAGTCTATAATGTCGACTTATTCTGGTTCTTCAGTAATAAAAATAAAAAATAGAAACAAAAACCACGACGTTTCGATCACGACACAAGCGGTCATCATCAGGAAAAGGGGGGTTAGCCTCTAAAGGCAAACTCTTTATAAAGGTTTAGAGATGGGCGTAGCCCAAGTGTGTCAGCAGCATGGTCGGGGTAGTTAATGTAGGAGAAATCAACGCCAACGCAGCGGGTCTACACCAATCAAAGGGCCGCCAGGCAATCATTGCACCTAGCTCCACAACCTTTTCCTGTTGCGATCAAAACGTCGTGGTTTTGGTTTTATTTTTATTACTGAAAGAACCAAAATAAGTCTACATTATAGACTGCCAGTACGCTCACTTAGGTTAATAACCATTGCTACAGTCTACATCATAGACTGCCAATACGCTCACCAGCTTAAAAACCAGGCTACATTCTACATTATAGACTGCCAGTACACTCACCGAGGTTAAGGACCAGGCTACAGTCTACATTAGTGGTTTTTAGTTTTTTATTATTACTTTTTTTATTATTATAAATGTTCTTCCATCTACATGACTTTACCGAAATAACCAAATAATAAATTATTTTCCTACGTACAATGGGGATGAACGAGGACAGAAAGCATCATCTGTTTTTATTCCTTCTTAAAGTAATCGATTTTCTTGCTGACGTGTTTGCAGTCATGTGGGCACCGAGTCGCTAACCGTCGACAAGTAAAGAGCAGCCAGTAGTACAACCGATAAAACCAGCACGCCACAAATATTTATTTTGTTCACAAGCATGATTAATCCACAACCCGGTAAATCCATTCACGGATAATCAAGAGTTAACTGTACTGCTACATTTACAAACACAGACAAACCCTCAAGGCAAATTCAACATTACCAATCTTTCAAAAGAACACAAAAAGCATTTTTTTATCTCCACTCTTCCATCCTGAGAAACATCACTTTTAAAATCTATTTTCAGAGACAGATCTACAGTATTACAACCGTTATCGTGTTTTGTTTTTTTAAAACAGCACGCAAAAGCGTTTTCCATTGCCCGTGAGCATAATTCAGTGTTGTACTCTCTTGTTATTGCTGGTCCGAGGAATGTAACGATGATAACACACACCGATTCATCAGTTAGCCATGTCCGCTCAGCCGATCATCACCCCCACCTGGCGGGTCGGTTAAACCACCTCGTGGGTGTGTCAATCCCGCACGTTGTAGTTACGCACCCGTCCCCGTCCCGGTGTGCGCGGCTTGCCCGATGAATTCGTCGAGTCACCCCAAGGGTTACGCCCGGCCACCTTTCGGGGTCGGGCGTGCGGGGTCAGCCCCCGCGCCCGCACTGCAATCTCCTCGGGCCCCGCGTCGCGACTGGGCTTCTCCGGGGTGTGGGGCTCCCCGGTGACGGCAGTGGCTGTAGGGCATCTGGGCGAGCGGGAGGTCGAGGGACGGGCTGCACCCTTGTCTGCAAAGAGGTTACAGTGGTTAGTATGGATCTGGTCACATGAATGATATTCCTGGCCTTGGGTAATGTCGGTAGCGAGCGATATGTGAATCCTCGTCTGTTATTTGTAGCGGTCACCGTGGTTAGAAAGGTGCACTTGGGCACCTGGCGACCCGAGTTCGATTCTCACCTAAAGTCTGAACCCTTGACTGGGGTTGATGTTAGACTGTACCGTTGACCTGGAGAGTTAAATTTTTATCAGCCATGGTTAATGTCATTGGCGAGTGATATCTGCACCCGTCTTCAAGGAAAGCAAATCAATAATTGCCGCTCTTTGTGGTGGTCGCAGTGGTTAGTGTATTGCACTATGAACCTGGTGACCTTATTTTGATTCCTGGCCATGGCTAACATCAGTGGCGAGGGACATTTGAACGGGTCCTGGTCCCCCCACCCATCCGCCAACCTGCATTGAGCAGCGTGGTGAAGTATGCTCAAACGACTCACGTGACTGATACAGCACGTGGTGGGGGGGGGGACGTCATTAATTCAGTGTATTGACAAAGCGCTGTAAATTATTATTATCCTTGTTAAACTTATACAAATAAAACAATTCTGGGTAAGTGGGATAACTTTTTTAAGTACTTAAAATAGTATTGTTTTGTTAACAATCCCATATATATATTCTTGGTTCTTTCGGTAAAGTCACGTATAAGGGAGATAATAAAATAATATAAATATAAAACAATACAAATTCTCACGACGTTTCGACTGCAACACAAGCAATCGTCATCAGGTGATGATATTTATATTATTTTATCTCCCTTCTACGTGACTTTACCGAAAGAACCAAGAATATGAATCTCTGCAGTCACGAAAGCTTTAAATCACAATCCCATATATATTTTCCAAAACCTTTCACTACTCAAACAATCCATACCTATTTCAGCATCAAGCCAGGCAAGTGGCCGTTGCTTCTACCGGCTCGGCTAACGGCTTGGCGGGTGCACACAGTATTTTTAAAGCGAGCAGGTGAAAAGCGTTGCGCGGCTGAACAGAACATGCCCTCCTCTCCTCGCGACGCCGGCTTGGCCACTCGCCCCAGCTCTCTCCTCGGGGGGGGGGGGGGGGCCCCGTTCTTCCGCTCGCCGAGCGTCGCTGGCGTGAGAACCACGCAGCGCCGCGCACACAAAGCCCCCTCTGTGCGACGGCGGCAATGGGTCTCAAAGCCCCGCTGCGCGAGGACTGAACGCACCCCGCGCTTTCTCAAGATCGAGTGGACTCGTTCGAGGCGAGATTTCTCTTGATATATTCTCTCATGAGAGCCAATTTGCTTCGTACAAGATTGAAATACTTAACGGCCAATCCTTCTGCTGCCCCCTCCCCCCCTCCACAGCAAAGTTCCAATACAAGCGATATATCTTAATAACGCAGCCGAAGTCACCCAAGTGTGTTTAGTCTCATCCACACGGCTGCGTTTAATCACCACACTGAAGGTCACAACACTTCCCCCTATGCTCTTCTTCCCTTTGTAATTACTTCCCATGGTCTCTTATCCCAAGCTCTTATAATAACCTAGCTCAATTTAAGAAACGTGTTACACTCTTATCTGTGATAATGGGGTGCTGTTTGCTGCTGGCCGCTTGGTGTTTGTGTCTGTGCTCAACAACTGTGACCATCACATTCATGGTCCTACGATGCGACTATCCATCGAGTGGTTCACTGAATGTCTTACCCCAACGTGTTATCATTTATTTCTGTTTGCTCTGTTTGTTTTGTGATGTCATCCTCGGTCTCTTTTCACAAATCAACGAGATGTGTGTTTAGTGGAAATTGCAGCTGTCTTGTAATCATTGTGAAAGCTATTATGTTGTTTTTATTAAGATGCACTGCCATAGCAAACAATTTAAACCGTGGTGGTTCTGATATTAGGGTTATGGTAAAACATGTTTTTATACATTTATAATTGCCTAAAATATTGTAAAAAAAAATCTTAATCAAACTTCGTCTGAGATTGTGTTTTGCTGCCTTGTGGTGAGCAGACAGGAGAAGGGCAGCCACTCGTGGTGTTGATTTTTGGCCAAGATTCCAGCCTAGTTGGGCAGGATTCATGTTCTGCTTTTGGTTGCCAGTAACCAGAAGCAATTCTTAACAGAGTAAAAACAAAACAAAACACTCATCACATCTATCAATACCACTGCCTCCTTCAAAGAAAAAGTATATACTGTAATAGTCGACGTTTCGGGGAATGAGCCTTCTTCATAGCACATAATTGGAGAATTACCCTGACCAGAAATACCGTTATATATATTTCTAAGGAAGAGCTTTTTTTAAAAAAAGTGCTTTTTTGTTGTTAACTGGGCTTGTGTGCAACTGCCAAGAAATCAGCAGCATCACTAAATTATGAATGAATATTCTGAACAGAGGAAGTCATTTAACAAAAAGGTCACTTGTGAACCTTTTAAAAGTGGGTGGAAAACAGCTCAGGGGTAAGGGATATCCAAGGGGTAAGGAATAGCGCCAAAGTGATTTCCTACTCAAATGAACATCGTGGGACTCTGATGCTCCTCATCTCGCCTTCTTACTGCCCCTGAACGAGCGGTACAAATTCCACATTCCTACGGCGGAAGTGAGTCTACACATACGACAACCACTGTTATCTTGCCCCCCCCCCCACCTCGCCCCCAAAGTGGTGACCATTTTATGGATCCGAGAAGGATGATGGGCTGAGCAAATCTCCAACTAGGATTTGAACTCACGATCTCCCGAATGCTAGCTACTCACTCTATACCGCTATGGATATTTTTTTTACAAAATAATAAAGTCAACAGGGCGTTTCTTGCACATACACCCACAGCCTTACAGCACTATTTTATTGCAGGCCTAGATTAGTGAGAAAAAAGGATTTAAAGTCACATTCAAGTGCGCTCTATTGAAGTCATTGCAGCGCCACTCTCATGCTTCTAGTACGACAACTCTGTAGTTGTTCATCACAGGGTTCTCAACAACCAGTCGAAATGCCCGAGTCTCAGAGGGTCAAAGAAAGGCATTCAGCCAAGTCAAAATCACCCATCCGCACCTTTACCCATGTCCTATAATTATGTGGCCCCCTAAATGTAATTTACCCCATTCCCACGTCACTACATTGTGTCCTGTGCCCTAGGAGCATGTGCCTTGTGCCTCTGTGCCACCGTACCCGTGTCCCACATCCCCCCCCCCCCCTCTTGTGTACCCTGTGTCACTGAGCCCTGCATTCTCATGCCTCGTACCATGTGCACCGACACAGCCCCCTGTGCCCCAATGCCCCCATAACTCCCACACCCCCATAGCTCAATGCCCCCCACACTCTGCGAACTCTGTGCCCCAAGCCATTTCTCCAGCGCCCCTCCCCTGCCCTCCCGCCACGTCTGATTTGAATTTGAATCGAGAGTGAATCGGACCGTGCCGCGTGTTCGCTGCAGCCCTTCCAATCTCAAGTGGCTCCGAGCGGTTCGTAAGGAGCTTTCTTCGTGAATGTGGCCTCCCCACCATTTTAACCCCAACCACCCAATGCACCCGCCTCAACCAACCAATCACCCACCCTTTCCCCCCCTAAGTGGATGGCTCCTGTTTGGCATTGATGCCTCTCGCTCACATGGGGCAGAGGATTTCATGTCATGCATTGGAGGGGGGGGGGGGGGGGGTAGGAGAGTGCTGTGCCTAATCCTATAAAGTTAACTCGTGGCGTAGCGTGGTTGGCATAGGCCCTGGTCACGCAAGGAATTACAATGCGTCCGCCCCTGTGCAAGTTCCCAGCCCCCCCTCCCAGCATCGTATCCCGGCACCTGGGCTATGGTGGATCGACAGACAGACAAGACGAATGCACATATGCTTTAAACCTTAAGTTGAATAAATAAGTAATATTTAAGAATACTTTTTTTTTTAAACACGCCTTAATGAAATGTACCGTACGAGTAATGGCAGAACTCCACGACTCCAGGTAGTGGACCCGAGGCTTGCCATAACGTAAGGGACTGTGGTGATTTACAGCCAACGTGAGTTGAGCATGGACAATTAGACCCAAGGCGAAACATAAGATATAAAAAGATGACTTAAAAATGTTTATTTAAAATTTTTAATGATATAATATAGTATTGTCATCAGTATGACATAAGTATACCAAAGTTTGCAGTCCATACCACATTGGGAAGTGGGTTAAAATTGAGTTACAAGATTTGAGGATACGACAACAACAGACAGAGTGAATTCATAGAAAGCGTGTAAAAAGATAGTTAACATTTTTTGTTTATTTTTTATGATAGAATATGGTATTGTCAACAGTATGACATAAGTATACCAAGTTTGCAGTCGATACCACATTGGGAAGTGGGTTAAAATTGAGTTACAAGATTTGAGGATACGACAACAATAACAGACAGAGTGAGTTAAATAAAAGCGTGTAAAATACAAAATAATTAAAAACAATATGTGAATAAACAAGGCGTCAAGGCTCACCTGCTCATCCAACCGCCTTGAAAATCCACGCTTCATATGAAATCACGATGCCCATGACCAAACGTATAATATTGCACGGCAGTATTATACGGGAAATTATTTACGTGGGAATACAATGGTGCTGGGAGCTCCGTTTGAATGTCACATTTGGTGGGTGGGGGGGGGTGGTTTCCTCCCCTTTTTGTTCTGGGACGAAATAGAATCGGCGATAAACCTCTGCACAAGATCTACCTCGCTGCGTTGTACGCTATTAAAATGTCAATGTGCACCATACTGTACCAATTATATACGGGCAAAGGCCGGCAGCGATTTCCGTGCCGACTGCCCACGGTGCCAAATAGGCTCCTTACAAACATACGGCGGCCTCCTCGCGCATTCTGGCTTTGTCCACGCATTCAAGAGCTCTTAAAAACATTCTTCAACACTTCAATACATCTTGTGACACCACAACGCCTCTTCGCGCCAGAAGCCTGCTCATTGGAAGACACAAAACAGCTAGCTCCCTGCTAAACCACAAGACCATCCAATTA